AAAAAAAATTTTTAAAAAAAAGGTGACTTAGACTGAAAACTCGAATGGGCCATTTAAGTAAAGATGAAAACTCAAAAAAATAACTTTATATAAAGATCCTATGAATAAAAATGATGATTAGCTCAAAGACCAAGGATATTGATAGAATGTGTTTTTGAAAGAGAATTCTGAGTTGGAGTTCACAATTGTCTGAACAGTCATTATTTCGGAATGCTAATATTCTTTTTAAATAGTGAAAATGTTGTGCCTTTGATTTGTTATCGACCATTTTTTTCGATAATAAAGATTCATTTTTCTTATTCTTTACCAAATATACATCTCCTGAATAAACCAAGAAAATGTATCATGTCTATCACTAATTTGAATGATGGTAAATAAATGATATTGTTAGGAAAATGGGGTCCAGTCCCATGTAAGTGGTTTTGGACCAAGTAAAGGCCATGGGCCTTGATCTTTTATTTTACACAGAGCCCTAGCTACTTAATAAAAAAAGAGGTGGGGTTGTTTAAGGTGTGTGTCGACAACCAAGCAGAGAAAGAAGAAAAGCTAAGAAAAGCAGAGAGAGAAAAAGGAGAAGGGAGAGTTGGTTAAACGGAAGTCGATCCGTGATCCGATTGAGATGAAACCTTGTCAGGAGGTTTATGATTCAGAATTATACATTCTGAATGGTGAAGATCGGGTTTGAAGCTCTCTAGGAACAAATCCAGGGTGTATTTGTTGAGTCACTTATTTGGTGAGATTTCTCCAATTGTTTCTCTAGTTGTTGATTAGCTCTAGTTTTAGCTAGAGAAGAACTTTGTATAACTATTATTTGATAGTGAAGATTTTTCTGGTGGCCCGTGGTTTTTCCCTTTACACTGGAGGGTTTTCCACGTAAATCTTGGTGTGCTTTATTTTTCCTGTGCATTTGATTATTGATTGTTGTCTATTGCTTCTGTATTGTTGTGATTATTGCTTCAGGCGCAACAGATATGACAATGTTCATAAAGAGTTTTTCATTCTTTTGAAAGAAATCTAAACTAAGATAAATGAAAAAGCATGATAAAATGATTTACAATTGGGCAAACAATGTGACCTAGTGATGAATTCAGTGATAGATTCACTAACATGACCTGCAAGTTATAACTAGATGAGAAGAATGACATGGATTGACTAATAGAATTTATTTTGAGATGCTAAAAAGCTGAGAAAGAATACATAAGATGGTGAAATCTTGAGAACATTGTTACCACAATTCAAAATTCATGGTATTGATTTAGAAGTATCTGTATTATATACATTATGCTCACATTTGTATCATAGATAGGAACATGCATTTGTATTGTCACATCATCATCTATAACTCATTTTTTATCTTGGCTCAGTCTAGATTGTTTTTTAGACTTGTGATTCTGTCTTGGTCATCCGATCTTGGCTCAATCCATATCATTTTTCTAACTTACAATTCAGTCCTAATCACCTATTTTGATCTCGACTTAGTTCAAATCATTTTATTTTTTTTATTCGCAATTCAATCCTGTCACCTGTTTGATCTCGACTCATCCAGATCATTTTCTTGACTTGCGGTTCAATTTCATTTTTTTTTGCTTACTGACTTGACTTTTGGAACAGAGTGGATGTTTAAGTCTTTACATCATTCCTGTTTAGCAAGGATATGTAAAGAGGGGTGGCTGTAGATACGTATTTATATTCGGGGTCAATCGGGGTCCATTTTTACTATTAGTATTTTGTTATTGTATTAATATTATGATATTATGATATTATATTATATTATATTAGTATTATTGTTATTACTATATTATCATATTATATTATAGCATCTTATTATTAGTATTATTATAGTATTATATTATTATTATTATTATATTATTATATTATTATTTTATAATTTTCTTTCTTTCTTTCAATTTGTGATTGCAGGATTAGGAAACTGAAATATGGATCAAAGGAATTCAATATAGTTAAAGATTTTAATTCATAATCAGAAGATTTTCGGATCAATATAAAAAAACAGCAAGAACTTAAACTTAAATTCATGCTCAGGCAGATTCCAATCCTAAGATTCAAGCCTGAATTGATTCTATCTGATCCCTAAAAACTCTCCTAAGGATGCCTATAAATTAAACTAAAATTTCAGAAAACAACACATGGTTGATATTTGGAGAGGGGGTGAACTTGGTGTTCTGAAAAATTTTCTAAGTAGTAGCGAATTTTTGAGATTTTGATTTTTGGGAATTTTAGGTTCGATTTGAAGTTTCTGAGTTTAAATTTGGGTTTTTAGGATTAGGTTTACGTTTCTTGAAGGTTTCTAAAGTAATCTGGAGAAATTTGGGAATTTCTAGAATTTTTCTAAAAAACTAAATTTTTGGGATGAATATTTGAATTTTTCAATTAAATTTTCCAGTGAAATTTGGGTTTTTCAACCAAATTTCGGTCACTTTTTCAGAAATTGATAGGTTTTCCTAGTTTTCAGTTGAAGTTCTTGGCTTTTCTAAGGAGAGGTCAGAGCATTTTTGGGGTTAGAGAGAGAGCAATGGGCTTTTGAGGGAAAAACGCAAAACTTGGCTTTTATAGGGCTCTAAAACGATACCATTTTACCAAGCCCAGATCCGTGCGTAACCTGATTGGGATCTGCGCACCACTCGTGGCTCAACTCGACTCGATCACATGTTTTTTTTTTTTTCTATTTTAAATTTATTTTTTGATTTTGATTTTATTTATTTTATATTTTGAGTTTTTTTTAGTGTTTATTTTGTTTTGCTAGTTTTTATTATTTATTTTTACTGAGTAATTTATTATTTATTAAATATTTTACAAGAATTATTTCTATAAAAAAACAAAAAAAATATCTTTTCTATAAAAGTTATTTTTTTGGAAAAACAAAAAAATAATATTGTCAAATAAATTTATGGAATCCACCAAACTATTGAAAAATTTCATAAATCGATTTTTAAAATAAATATTTTTATCTTACCAAACTATTAGAGGATTGCTTATTAAATTAAGTCATACCAAACTATTGAAAGATTTAATGAATTTCTCAAAAAAATAAAATTTTATAAATACTTTTATAATAAAATCTCATTAAACTATTGGGAGATCTATCTCAAAATAAATCATACCAAACTATTAAAGGACTTTACTAGTTTTTTTGGAATAAAATATAATAATAAATTCCACGACAGAGCCTTTAAGGTGGGACACTAGTCTCCATGAATACTCCTAAGATAAGAGAATTATCTTGAAGTGCTATCAAAATTGAAGCAATTTTAAAACTAATTTTTAATATTAAAATTTTGGTAAATTATAAATATGATCAAGGTTTGGATAATCTAAAATCAAATTTGTATCATCATTTGGATGGACACTGTGGGGGTGCTATAACATTCTTCACACATAATCGTACTCCCGAACTCCTATTTAAAGATATTTAAATCAATATTGAAACTCTTCTTTAAATTGGATAAATTCAACCAAATGATCAATTATACTTAAATAAAAAAAAATTAATAGTAACTCTTTTAATTTATATCTACCAGTAAATCTTCATATTTATACGATATGACATCATCCAATTTTTAATCTGATTTTTTTTTAATAAAATTAAAATTTTCATCTCAATTGGTGTGAGTGTTTAAGCACTCTTTTGACTTTTTTTACTGATGTAATATTATTCATTATTCTGGTCCTATTCATCCAAATGCTGGCTTTGCCCGTGATTAGTATTTGAGAATTCCTTTAACAAGAGTGAAGGTATTGATGGGGTTAAATTCACTTGATTGTTCATAAATTTTTTTTTTCTTTTTGCGATAAATCCTTGTCTTGTTTATTTGCTGGTTGATCACCTTATTATACTAGCTTAGCTTATCTTTGTTGCAAAATAACTGATATAATTGGCCAGTGATCAAATACATGTAATTTTTGAGGATTTGCACATAACATGTATATGATATTTATTGCATTTCTGCAGTGTTTCTAGGTTCTTAGTGTATTACTTCTTTTTCATTTTCCCTCTCCTTGGATGCCAACAAATAGCATTTTATACCTGGCTTTTTGAAAAAGAACTGTTAATATTAGCTCTCATTGATGCCTCACAATATGCGATAATGGGAATGTTGAAGAAGCTTTGGAAATTCTTGGGAAGGTTTTGAGGAAGAGTTTAAAGGCTCCTAAGAGTCGTTTACAACTGCTTGATTTAAGTAAATGTAGGGATGGGGAAGATTCAGAAGTTACTACTAAACGCTTGATAAAGGAAACTTGATAAAGATGTCTAGTTCCTAGCATGGGTAGTTATAGTGCTATCGCTATTGGTCTATGTAAGGAAGGTAGAGTTTATGAGGTTGATAAAGTACTTGATGAAATGCGTAAGAAAGGGTTTTGGTCATCAATGTCGATGTATGAAGCAAAAGCAGAAGCTTTGAGAAAAAAAGGGAGAGTTAGTGATGTATTGAAGGTAATTGAAGAGGAGATGAAAGAGTGAACTTGTGTTCCAAGTGTTAGATTGTATAATAGTGTTGAAATATCTTTGTGATGCAGGGAATTCAGAATTAGCTGTCGGGTATTTGAAGAAGATGGCCAAGCAGGTTGCTTGTGGTAGCATTTTTGTTAATGGGTTGTGTAAAATGGTAAATTTGTTGAAGCAAGTCGGGTGTTGGAGGAGATGCTGATTAAATCAAATTGGCCTGGTACAGAAACTTATACTGTGCTTATAAGGGGGCTTTGCTCAGTAGGTGGGCAATATGAAGCTGTGATGTGGTTGGAAGAGATGGTAAGTCAGGGCATGCCGCCAATCCTTTCTATATGTTGTAAAATACGTGGCATCGATCTTTGCTATGAGGGCATTTTAACCAAGTAATTAAATTTTTTCTCCCCTTGTATTTCCAAGTTCAAATTGAATGGAACAATGAATATTGGGCAAAAGTTCATCAACAAATTGGGTTTGTCCCTATCTTTTGTTCTTTTAAATTTTCTAAGGTTCAATAGTTTGCCCGTGTGCAATGCAGTCGTCAGGAATTTTTGTCCCAGTCTGTTTTCTCTGTGATCAAGTGCCCGTTCATTTCAAAGGAGCAAAAGCAAAGGAAATAAGACAAAATTAGGATATTAAAAATTGCATTATCGTCTCGAAAGTCATAAAATCACTGTCACTTGCATGAGCCCATTACGCGAGGCCTATATTTGAAGCATGAACCGACAGTTGCAACATGTGAATCTTTGTAATCTTCTTCTGCCAGCTGATGCAAGGCATCGAAGAAGTAACTTTCCTAATCCTTTCTCCCAAATGTCAAAAATCTTTGGTCAAGTAGATGATAAAATCATGGCTTGCTTGTTTGTTTATCAAGTAATCTGTAATCATTTATGACAATATCAAACAAGTTTTGGAGTTTCACACTAAACAACCAACAACCCTTTTTGTTCAACTTCAAAACCAAACAATTTACAGTTAATTTCACTTGTAAGCAATGCATCTTATTGCTAAGGAATGAACCAATTATGTGATATCAAACAAGCTAAATTATTTGTATCTGATTTGTTGTATAATTCCTTCAATTGAAAGCTGTACAAACACGCCTGATTTCTCCTCGGGACCCTGTTTTGACACCAATCTGGCCCATCTTCACTATGGATTCAACAAAATCTGCTTCGAAAGAGGTTCCAAATATTGGATTGAGCTGTTCAAAATAGGAGTCAACAACAAGCCTAGTCGTTTCATCGTCGTATAGCCTGGCATCAGATTCTAGCACTGCAAACCCATTCCTAATGTTGTCTAGAATCTGTTTATCAAATGTTTGCTCACTTCCCTGATCAATTGGTAATCTTACATTCACGTCTCCATTCTGAGGGCAAACAGATTGCAGTTGTGGTAAAAACTCAGGGTTGATTGCAGGATCCGACCCCTCACCAGGGGAGAAATTGTAAAGGCGTTTGGTCATGAAAAAACATGCTGTGGTTCCAATTGTATGCGCTGCTGCATTTTCATTGGAAAAACAAAGAAAAAGAAAATAGTAAACTTAGCATTAGATGCTCAAAAGTGGAGGACCATCATTCATAGTTGTCGATTAATTAATTGGCACATTCAACAAAGTGCCAAGCGTGACTGAAGCCTATTTAAGCTAGTAAGACTCTATTGTCCAGGAATTGGTCTGTCCGAGAAAAGACTTGAAAACAGCAGCTTATCTGCCTATTCTGGCTACTTTCTCTTGGATTAATGCTAATCAGGTTCATCCTCTTGTCACGAATATTTGCAAATAAACCATTTACTAAGTCATTTATCACTTGATTTCCTACCAACCATGATATCAGTATATCACCAAACATGCATGAGAGAGAGAGAGAGAGAGAGAGAGAGAGGTGATTTACAACTGAGAAGCACAAGGTCTTTTTCTGATAGTCCTTTGTGAAGAAACTTAGCCTTGAGTTGCTGGATTGAATTACTAACATCAGGCATGTTGTCCGCCAGAGAAACATCCGAAACGCTTCCATCTCTACGACCTGTTGGAACCTCATACGATGGTCCATTTGCCTATATATCATACATAGAATCAATGACTAAACATGAGAGGAAATTAAGGATAAAAAAGAGAAAAAAAAAAGATATATTTATATGTACAATGGACCAGGTATATATATATATATACCAAAGCTACAGCATCTCGAGCTGCTAATGTGACTATATCTGCACAAGAAACCACTCCTGGACACGTAGCTTCCAGTTGAGCTTTGGCTTGATCTATCACTTCGAAACCCCCAACTCCCTGGTGACCAAAAGCATGTCTCTCAGCATTTGGACCATTTTCTATCAGAATTGAACCATCACAGCCCTGATGATAACATAGTTTCATAAGAATCAGGATGCCACACATTTCATTACGTTATGAAATGAACAAATAGAGAGATAAAGAAAGACCTCAACAAAGCAGTCATGGAAGTGGAGCCTGAGCAAGACAGGAAGGATGTTGGAGCTAGACTGGGCAGCATTTCGAACAACGCCAGAGACAATGGACTCGGCATCTGGGCATGTGTTGGAATAGAAACCAACTTTAAGTTGGCCTTGAGAAAACCCACTGAAAGATACAAACACTAGTACGAGGAAAACAATAACCTTTGTTTTCATGTTAGCAGTAATGATAACAATGTCTTCAAGAAGGAAGAATAAAAGGATTATAAAGTGTCGAAACAAGAAGGCAGAGGAATCTAAGTAAGCGGCGGAAGCCCTTAAGCTGATTGCTTCTTTCATAAAGAAGCCAACGTGTCAACTGTGAACCAACTTGCGTGTGGTTTTTTCATTACGGCTTCAAGTATTTTTGTTTCTCCCTTTTTTTATCACTTCTTTTGTTTTAACATTGAAGTGCTTGTCATTTTAGATTTTCATTTGCATACAACTACGTTTTCGGTTTTGGAAACAGGGTGTCTTCATGTTTTGCTTGGATGAAAACCATTTTCATCCACATTTGTAATTCGAATGAAAATCATTATGGTTCATGTCGTATTCAAAATGAATTCTCAAATTAAGTGCAACTATCTTCCACAACCACCTCAATATAAATTCAGCCACCCATCTTGACTTAGGGTCCAATACTTTAAGCCTTCCTTCCTTTGAATGGAAGGGATCAAATTAATAAAATCAGGATCTATAAACTCTACACTCTGTACTCTATTTTTTTTTTTTTTGTATGCTTCTTTTTTGGGGGGTCATCGACCTTTAATTTATATATTTTTTATTAAACGACAAAGAATTTTTTAGTTTTATTCAATACATTTTTTTCGGAAGGAAGATACATATATAATAAATTTTTATATATACATTATTCATCTTATGTTGGAAACTGTTAAGAGAATGGGCTAAAAAAGGATAGAAACAAAAATTAAATGTTTTATTATTGAAACATGGGTCTCTCAAAGGGATCATATGGCACATGTGATGACGTTGATTATTGAAACGATTATGGCTAACAATGAGGTGGAGGCATTGTCAAACAATTAAAGCCTGTACAGTGACGTTTAGATGAAATCTTCTTCAAAATACAAGAGACTTCAGACAGACCATTAGATCAAATTGTACGCCAAGTTCTTAATTAATTCCCACCGCCTTCTTTGTTTTTGATTAGAACAAATGCTTAGCTGTCATCGGCTGCTCCCATTGTCTGCGAAGCTTGATGATCATAATCTTCCTGAAAAATTAATACATTGATATTAAGTTGACTACGAGGAATTGAAAAAAATGAAGAAATTAAACTATCAGTACCTGCTGATCTATGGGAGAATCTTCATTTTGTATGCCGTCAACATCTTCCCTGCAGGCATTTGCCCTGGATACAAAGTTTCATTATTATATATGCATCAAGAGTACTACAGCCTAAAAGACTTTGATAAATGTTTATGAGCATGATTCCTAGAGATAAGAAAATGAAAAGAAAAATAAAGGGGTTGCTTATATACTCACAGAGATGGAGAAGCTACTTGAGCATCATTCAAGGGACAAACATTGCCACAGTTAATGGTAGAAGAGCATGGTTCAATTTCATTGTGATTTTGAGAAGAAACAGGAAATTTGAGAAGCATGCTTCCAAGACCAATTTCATTAGAAGGAATTTGCAGCTTGTTGATATTAATATTATAAATCAGCACATCCTCTGGTCCTTCAGAGGCATTATTATTGAAGGTATCTTCATTTCTTAGAATTTTGTGAAGGTCCCTTCGAAGTTTTTGGATTGTTGTAGGACTACCGTACACCACTGGTGACCTCTTTCTTGAAGGAATTCCCCACAAACTTCCCAAATTTTCAACTGCAAGAAAGCATTGAGACATCAAGTAACACATTGGTGAAGAAAAGGGTAGTTAAAATGTAAATAATTAACCTGGATTGTCAGCTCTGTTCTCTTGTTTTATAGGGAAACAGTTCTGATAATTATGTGATGTTGAAGACTCTGAACTTGCATAATCTTCCAGGAAAGAAGTATAACACGCATTGCTGGTGACAATATTCTGATCTTCGCTAACAATTGCCTTAGGTACAGCTTCTTGTTTCTTCTTTCTGATAACTTGAAAAGTCTTTGGAGTATAGTTTTCAAGAGATTTCCCTAACCTATACCTTGAACCACATGCATTGCATAAAACTGGCTTCTCAGGTGGTCCATTTCTCCATAGTGGTGTGTCTATTCCCAGTTATCCGTAAGCAAAAGAAGGGGAAAGGATCAAATCAATTAATCAATGTTATGTGATTTACTTTCTTTTATCAAGAAAATTCATACATATGCATTTCAGACAAAAGAGCTAAGCAAATCAAGGCCAATCTTTCACCCAAATATGTAGATCTTTCTTGCCATGCAAGAAAAGTGGTTGTCATATACAAACAAGTACTTAATTAATATCAAAGATGGAATAAAATCAACAATTATTCAATCAAATAGTGTGAAGGTGGTGTGAAAATTGCATAAAAATATCAAATTTAGGTGAAATTTGAATATTAATTCTTCATGCATATAAATATATAATCATTAATGAATATCACTAATTAAAATGTTAACATGCATCTTGATACGTTATTTATGCTATTTATATATATTCAAATCTTACGCGATTGTTTAATTTAATCAAGATAATAATAATTTTGAAAAAAAAAATTAAGTTTAGAGTTTACCTATAAATGGTGAAATTTATTCATACGTTATAAACAACTTAAATTTGGGCGCGAACATGAAATTTCATGTATGATTATTGAAATTCTATAGGTTTAATTTGGCACAAAATGTAGGTATCCAAGATGTACATCAGTTTGGAATTGTATGTTATTATGAACTAAAGGGAAGGAATTCAGCCTTTATTTTATTAATGATTAAAGCAAAAATAATTAATATTCAAACAAAGTTGTAATCATAAAATCATATGAGTAATATAATTGTTGAAAGTGAGACTACATGATTACCATTAATTGCCACAACACCGTAGATGTGAATTGTGATTGAAAGAAAAGCAAAAGAAGAGAAACTCACTATCAATCCCACAGTGGAAACAAGGTCCTTTCTTTCTCATTTTGATAAAGACTGTCTGAAAATTTTGTTCCAAATATATTATATCCACAATCTGTCAATTCAATATCATCCAAAGGAAAAGAAAAAAAAAAAAGAGAGATTAAAAAATCTGTTAGTAATTAAACTGTAAAAATAGATAAATATTAAAATCCATTTATACAAACAAAGGGAAAATCAGACAATAATTAAAAAAAATTAAATAATAAATTGAATGAAGAAAAAAAAAAAACGCATATTAATTTTGATAAGCTCGTTTACTGATCTAAAATAATATAAATTTTTTTTTTGAAGAGGTCATGACTCTTGACTGTATCCTTGGCTCCGCCGCTGTATACAAAGAAGAGACTTACTTGAAAATTTCTGATTTCTTGTTTCTTTACTTTCAATTTTATATTTCCATCTTCAAACTTTTACTCTCCCATTTGTTTTTCGATTGTTTCACTTAGGAAAAAAGTAGGAAGAATATGTATAAATGCAATCTAGGGTGGGTTCCACTAATTGTATCCAAATTGTGCAATTTTCTACTGTCTTTCTGTGAGGAAAAGAAAATTTACAGTTGGATTATTTTTCAAATGAGCTTTTTTGTTTTTTCAATTGCTTTGGATTTTTGTACAATGCCCCAAAATCACCTCATTTACGAGGGGTTGAATAATGCCATATATGTATTTACCCTTACTTGTTTGAAGATAAAAAAAATTGTTAATTCAATGATTTTGAAGTAATTTCAAAATCAACATTTATAATAGATTTGATAATTTATATTATCATATCGTATTTTGTATCAAATATGATATTTAAACATGATATGAACGATTTTGATATAAATAAATCATAAATATTTAAATAATACGAATAATTAAAATATAAATACATTACATTTATTATATGTGATACATGCGACACAATATGACATATTAAATATATTTTAATCTATTTTAAAAACGAATAACACAGCATAACATGATTAACATGATTATATATGATTAATATGATTAAACACAATTAACATTAAAATATATAATCAATAATTTAATACTAAATTAAAATGATAATATAATAAAAATGTTAAAATAGTATTATATGCATGTTATAAATGTGTCATTTGTATGTATTGATCCAATAATATAATTAAAATATGATTAATTAATTAATTATATCTTAAATATGTAATACGAATAAATACAAAATATGATACGTGCAACGTCGTATCTTAAACTTGTTAATATAATTAAAACATAAAACATAATTATAAAAATCATATATATAATTTATTATATATTATTTTTATATTATATCGTATTTAAAATTATCAAATTCACTTTCATTTAAAACATCATTATAATCTAAAACAAAAAAAAAAAAAGAGAAGAGGATGTTGGTTATGTTGATTTCAAGGTAAAATAAACAAATGACAAAAGTCGTTAAAAAAATCCAACAAAGAAAATGCTCATTATACCAACCATAAATGGCGTGGAAAAAACTGAAAAGATGTTGAAATAAATGCGTCCTCATCTCTCATTTTTCTTTTTAGGAAAATTGCATCTGTAGCCGTTCATCAATATTCCTATTATTTCTTCCTAATTTGGCAAAAAGTTTCCAATTATGAAAACTAATTGATTTATTAACTATAACAGAATGAAGTTTGCATAATTTCTGATACCAGATTAATAAAATGAAATTAGGTGGCATGTTCAGTTAAAATTAATATAAATTATTTAAATAAATATTAAACCTTAAAGATAATTTTGTTTGGAAAATATTTTTTACGAAAAAATTATTTTATTTGTTAAGTCTGTAAATTAGGAATTATTTTTTATAAAAAAATATTTTATTTGATCTATTTTATTTTTATAAATCTTGTCTGATACAATCTCAGGAGTTGATTATTCCGGTATTGATTTCAAATTAAGACGTTTTATGTTTTTAAATATGTATTACTGAAATTTCAAAAATATTTGATACATGTAACAGTCGTCTCAAACCGTTAAAATTCTATCACTTAAAAAAACTTACCAAAAAAGGTGACTAGAATTTTGATACTTCAAAAAGTACCGGCAAAAAAACACAATTTACATTTACATCCCTCTCTAAAAAACCTGTCAATAACAAAAGTGTTAAGAATAGATGATATCTAAGGGACATCTAATAATCAAAAGTGTGAACAATAAATTTGATAACTATATTTTTTAAATATGAAATTGTCTTTTTCAAATTTGATTTTATTAAAGATTTGATTTGGGATTTGTTTTTATTTGATGAGTTGGCTTGATGGAGAAAATTTTGTATTAATTTGGATCATTATATGAATAAAATTATCAGATTTAGAATGAGAACTTGCTTCTACATCAATTTGTTTTAAACAAATCATATGATCTAATCATTATTTTTATATAAAATCCTAACTATATGTAAGGTTTTACAAAGTTTTTAAAAAATATATTATTTTAATACACCATGATGTATAGGATAAATTTTTTTAATGAATAAAACTGCCCATAAGAAAAAGCCGGTTATAATTAAGCTTACAAAAGAAATTAATAGGATTTGTGTGCTATTGGTAAGCAGAATTGTCTCTTCGTAATGCCAAATTAAATATTGAATGGTAAGTTGAATGATGGACAGTACTTTCATAGGGTACCTTGGGTGGCTGCCCTTGCATGCCTAATAAATAAATGTAATTTATTAAGTACCTAAAAATAAATTATAATTAAATTGCAGCTCATATATTATATATACGGAGTCACTTTAATTATAATAATAATATAAAATAAACAAAAAAAAAGTAAAATAATAATTAAATAAATGAGTATTATCTATATTATGATTCAATGTAATGATAATTAAGATGATTTTTTTTTTATTTTACAAACGAATTTAAAGAATTGACACTTTTTAATTAAATATATGTAAAAAAATTATTATTTTATATAATTAGATTTATTCAAAGATTTGATTATTTATCCAAATCTAAAGATCCATTTAATATTTGAAAGGATTTAAATAAAAATATCAATTCAAAAAATATATTTAGATAAAAAATGAGATTCATTTAAAAACAAGCCAGGCTTTTATTACAACATTAAGAATCTCAACTTGATTTTGTTCTATTCGTTTTTTTTTTTTACAGTTATATTATATATATTAAATTTATATTTATATATTATGTATTTTTTTTTTGTTACATCAAGAGATCAAAGCTCTAGTGAGGAGGGAGAAGGCTTAGCTCGAAACCAGACTTTTGTAATTCATATCATAAAAAATTTGAAAATATTATGTAATTCATATCATCAAAAAGATAAATACATATAATATTATATTGTGAACATTGGAAATTATGTTAAATTATTCATGTTTTAAAACTAATAAAAAATAAAATTTAATAATTAAAAAAATTTTGTGTTGGACATCTTCAAAATTTTATTGTAAAAATCCTCAAAATTTAAAAATAAAAAAAAAATTTCTATGAACATCTTAAAATTTTTTTTCAAATAAAAATTAATAAATTGATCAATAATATTTTATATAGATATTTCAATAAAAAATTTGAATCCGACGTGAGGGGACCGTACCCTAACAAAACAACGAACCGAACAAGTTGCACAGGTCTCAACATGTCAAGTGCGAAAGTCGACTAAACCAGGCGTGAACGTGATTCATGTTGTTTTCTCGTCAGAATCATACCTTTCATCTAAAGTGAAAGGCTATATATAAATTATAAACTACCTAAAAATGAAGAAAGAGATTTTATATAAATATTTGTTTGTGTCTCATTCTGATCTATTAGACCAAAGAAAGTGAAATGTTGTGTGGGTAGTAACAATCTTTCAAACATCATTTAATAAGCGAGTTTTGTATGATTAAAATTGTCAATTGGATTTGTTTTCTTATAAAAATTTGAAACATAAGTTTGTCGCTGTTAATTATTTTAAAAAAAATTATTTAATTAATAAATATGACTTATAGATATTGATTGAGATATATCATTAAATTAATAAATTATTGATAATGTATTTTAGATTCAACTTGATCAAATTAGTATTATATATTTTGGAAGTATGATTTTATATAATAATTTGGATATTAATATTGTTTTAAGAAAAATTAACTATACTTGTAGGAGCATATATTATAGTTTTAAAATTTATTGCTTTTAAAAGTTTTTTTTTTTTTAAATAAAAACTCAAGAATAAGCCCAAAGCCCCAAACAAAACGCAAGATTTAGAAAGGGAAAGAGGGAAAGCCGGCATGCAACGGACTATCTGCAGGCCAGTCTGCATGATCAAAGCTGCAACGTTTATCTGTTTACAGTCTGTCCAAGGGTCCCGACCCGACCCAATGGGTCCAACATAAATATATTTTAAATAATCAACATCGCCATTACGACGCGCGTGCGCCACACACATCTCTTCTCCCATTTGAGGTTCTCACTTTTCTCACTTTTATACCGCTTTCTTTTCTCCGTAGGCTCCTCCTCTTTTTCTCTCTGCAATCTCTCAGGTGATATTTCTTCACTTTTTCTTTTTTTTTTTTTTCTTAAAAAGGAGTATATCTTTTTTGTTATTATTATTTAAAGGTATTTTTTTTTCTCTTGCCATGCATGACATTAGTGTTCTTTCCAGTTCCATCAAGATAAGTTTGTTCTTGTCTGTTTGATGTTTAAACGTTAATGTATTCTTCCATGGGTGTGAGTTTAAAAAAACGTTATTAAATGACGTTTGAATCTTTGTTGGTTTCGTTCATCAATTGCTTGTATAAATGTATCTGTTGAATCGTCTGACGGCTTCCAGTTATTCGCATTGCTATAATCTGTTCAAACAGGAAGAAGAAAGAAGATTTTTTTTTGTTTCTCTGTTTGGTTGGATAACTTCTTGTTCTTATTTATGCAATGAAATATTACATTTTGAAAAGATTGGTGCTTTTTTTATTGTTATTATTTTCAAGTTTTGTTTTATTAGGAAGAAGCTTAAAACCCATCTAGCGAACTCCAACGTGTTTGCAGAAATATGGGTTTTATTCATCTACAATTGTTTTAATCTGCCATAGCCAATTTACTGCTTGTCCTTGCTCATGATCAGATAGAGAAAGATATCATTGAGGTAGTTTTAAATTTAAATCTTACTAAGAACAAAGATACATAAATTGTATGCCTTATGTAAATTGAAAGTAGTTGGTTGATCCTAGAGAGAATTATTCATCCTGTACACTTGTTTGACTTTGGATTTCAAATTGGTATTTTTAAGTTTTTAAGGAATTTAAAATTTCCTATGTTGGCATTCTGGGTTCATATCATCTAGAAACTTGGAATTAATCGTATATAATTATGAAATTTTGACTATCCATGAGCATATATGGTTCAGTAGACTACATACAGATAGATGTATCCCACGTTGGCCCTTACATCATAGATGGTTGGGAGTAAATAATTTCATAATTATAGAAAATAATCATAGGTGATATGAATCCTAGCATTTCGTCTTGGTCTTCCTTTGAAGGGATAAAAGAGTAACTTTTCTGTTGAAGTCTTACGGTTGGGATGTTTTACTGTAGTAGAGCACATGGTTAGTATTTATTCGTTATTAAGCCTTCGTCAACTGGGCATGTGTGATATTTATTGTTGACTTACTGGCAAGCTGCATTTACTTTTGGTTATAAAAAAGGCTTTTGAATTTTTCTTGAAATATGAAAATTGACAAATCTTTTCATTCAAAACAGTGATCTAGGAGTAGGTTTCATATAAAGAGAAGTTTCTGGAAAAACCGTTTGAAAAATCTTCATGGCAGATGCTACTGACCCATTTCCCGACTTGGGGAGTGTGTATAAAATATCTGGTCGCCAAGTTAATCAACTAAGTCAGAATGTGGCAGACATCAAGCTAGCTTCTGCACAGAATGGTGACAAGGAGAACTCTTGGGAATCCAAAAACAGAGTTGCTGCAAGTTCTGGGTTTCCTCAAGATTCTACTCCTAATGTATGGGGACACCCAAATGTGATTCAGAAACTTAGGATGCAAAGTAATAGTGGTTCAGAAAAGGCTACTGACAATGCCTGGCTGACTCAGAATGATGTTTCTTGGAATTCCTGTGGACGTGGTAGTGCATGGACCCAACAAGGTGATGGAACATGGGGAAATAGTCGTACAAAATCTCCATCTTCGGAGCATGGAAGGAACTGCCCTGCTCAAGCTGGTTTCACTTTGTCTAACAGTTCACAGCATGGTCAAGTTAAAACGAACCACCAAGTTGGTGATAATTTGGATGATGAAAATGGAGTTAATGAATATGATAATGATGATTTTGATGTTGTGTACGATAGTGATGATCTTGATGACTATGTTTCTGATTCAGATGAAGATGAAAAGGGCCATGAAGCACGCAAGAAGAGCAAGTGGTTCAATTTATTTTTTGAAAGTTTAGAGAAACTGACTGTTGAGGAGATTATTTCACCAGATCGGAAGTGGCACTGCCCTGCGTGTCAAGGTGGGCCAGGAGCCATCAACTGGTATCGGGGCATGCAACCCCTAATGACTCATGCCATGACTAAAACAACACGGAGAGCTAAGCTGCATCGAGTATTTGCGGAAGTTTTGGTTGAAGAGATGCGTAGGAGAGGAACTTTCATTAAACCAGGCAATGATGCCTTTGGCAGATGGGAAGGGCTGAATGATAGAGTTGCAGATCATGAAATAGTTTGGCCTCCAATGGTTATCATTATGAATACAAGATATGAACAGGATGAAAATGGCAAGGTACTTTACAGCTATCATCTTTGCTTTCGGAGATAGCTTACTTTTCTTTTCCTGGTTTCAAGCAACTATGGAAGAATCCTTACTGAGTTAGTGGTACATTTTTCCGAAAATTATATTGTAAAAGAAATCCAAAGAAAATGCTACATTGGTTACTTTGCTTTTTTGGTAAAATATCTCTTGTACTGATATATTGTTGATTGCTTTGTACTGACATCATTTCTTCAGTGGACTGGAATGGGAAATCAAGAGCTTCTCAATTACTTCAGCTCATACGCTGCTGTAAAAGCGAGACACTCATATGGTCCACAAGGGCATCGGGGGATGAGTGTTTTGATCTTTGAGAGCTCAGCAGCAGGGTATTTAGAAGCTGCACGACTGCATAAACATTTTAAAGAGCAAGGGAGGGATAGGGATGCTTGGGATTGTTCACAGGTTCCATTCTGTCCTGGTGGGAAGCGCCAACTCTATGGCTACATTGCCATTAAAGAAGACTTGGATATATTTAACCGACACTCTCAAGGTCTAATCTTTCTCTCCTTACCCCCAAAATATTGTGTCAATATATATGCATGTATGCTTTCAATGTGCTAGATAAAGAAATTAATAAAAAATTTTGTACATAAATTTATTATTAATGCATTTAGCAAGACAGTGTGAATAAACAGGCTCAAATACAGGGTTTCCTTAGAAGCAAAATGGCAAAAGAATATGTCATAAATTATTAAACTGAAACCTAGGTATTTCTGATTGCCGTGCAAATATTACTTTGTTAATTCAAGGTTTTCTAACATTTAGTGCCATTACAAACTTGGAAGAGATGATATATAGTTCTTTCTCTTTTGGCTTCATTTTCATTCCAAAATTTTGACGACTTTGATAGCCGCAACCTCACTTGAGTATGGAAAAAGGAGTAAATCTCAAAAACAACTCTTAATCCAGTGCATGACAGTTTGTTCTCATTTGGGATGGAGAGGCATTGCCTTAAAACATACTATTATTTACTAAGAATAGCAGGTAACCATGCATTTGAATTTTTCTGATCAACAGATGTTTTGCTTCTATAATTCATAAAAAAATATAAATTGTACGAATGATTGATGGTGGAAGGTGCATAATTTCCTCTTTCTAATGGCAACGTAGTTTTCTTAGGCAGTCATGTTTGATAATCTGTGTGATCAAGCAGGAAAGTCCAAGCTGAAATTTGAGACGAGGTCATACAAAGAGATGGTCGAGAGCCAGATAAAGAAGATAAATGATGATAGTCAGCAGCTTACCCGACTTAAAGAGAAGGTTGCTCAAGAACAGAAGCACTCACAAGTCCTTGCAGAGTCTCTAGGGCAACTGAGTGAGAAGCTCCGCCAGACAATGGAGGAAAATTGCATCGTGAGGCTGAGAACTAGATTGCAGCATGAGCAGAACAAAGAAGAGGTAGCATTTTTGGAACTTTGTATTTCTCTACTTTTATTGCCAATCATGGCCAACAAGTTAGGACCCTGGGACCAACTTTTACATGTCACTACTTGGTAAATTGGTGATCATACTTGGTGGATGCTATTGCTATTTTCATTTTGCTTCGAACATAACTTGTAGGGAAACTGAACTTGAGGTAATTTTAAGAAGTCAGTGCGGGGCATGATCATGCTTCTTTTCTACCCTGTAAACCGAACAAAACCAAGCAAAGCTTTGCAGGGAAACTGTTGGGGCAAGATACACGGATCCTCTTCCTCTTCTTCCTGGAAAACTCTTCTTCTTGGACTTGAACCTGGCGTCCAGAATTGCTGCAATTGCAGTGTGCTATAGCAGATATCTCTTCCTTGTAGCTTCTTGATATATTTAAATTGACATTGAATTCTTCTAACTTGTTATTGCACTGCATTGATTTCCAGTTTGGTGCCACAGAACAATATTTTAAGGAGAAAATCAACCTTATTTACCAAGCCATACACACTAAAGAAGAGAATTTTGAGAAGCAGCAGAAGGCAGTGAGGGAGAGAGTTATGCGGTCAAATGCTAATCCAAAAAATAATGAAGGCGAATGCAGGTAACTTGGAGCATGCTGAGCTAAAATAATTCTTCAAGATGTTTTGTTTGAGAATTCATGTATGCCCTACTTTATGCTGTAATGAAGGTTTTTCTCTTTTGAGATGAAATTTTTATGCATGTTACCTTGAGACAGTATTGACCTGCTACTGCTCTGTCCATCAAAGACAGTATTTGTTACCATTTAGAAGGAAACAAGCCACCTACTTTTATACATTATATTCAATAGAATCTCTGGAGTCTAATTTGGTTGAAAATGATTTTTTTCTACAGTCATAACCTGATAAAGATTTTTAACATTTTTTGAACATTCAGTGCTACTGAGATGGATGAAAACACAAAGTCCATAATAATCCAGGAGAAAAAGATGGAGGAATTTGATAGAGAGAGGGAGAAGCTGATGAAAAGTCATCAAGACAGAAGGTTGGCAATCACACAGAGGTATTGGGAGGAGCTGATTGAGCTTGAGAAAGGATTCGAAAAAGAATTGACCCTGCTCATGGGAAAGTACACCCCAGATTGCGTTGAGGAAGAGGCCACAAACAGCCTTAAAGAGGATAAAACAAGAGAGGAACCGGATATGAAAACAGAATAGACCAGCAATGATACAATTCAAGGAGAGAAAGAAGCTAACATGAAATCTTTTGCTTCCAAGGTAAATATACACCAGTTTTGTTACTTAAGATACTTAAGTATTGTACACAGCGAAAAAGGCGGAGAAAGGAAGAGGAGGCGGCGTTCCAGGTTGGGATGAACACTGGAATAGTAAAACTTCATGTGCTTTTTTACATTTCTAAGGATTCTTTTCTGTTTCAGCTTTTTGGCAATGACAAACTTGACTCAAATCTGCTTTCATCTGTTGATATATGCTTGCATGTATGTTTGATGACTTTGAAGTCTTCCTTTCCCAACTTTTGCTCCCTTAATGCAAAGTAAACCCGGAAACTCCTCACAATTTTATTGAAGTATAATTCTTACAAATTTCTGCTGACTATGGAAATTGACTAGGGATAGCAACGGATCAAAGTGGGGTGGGACGGATCAAAGTGGGGTGGGGTGGGTTTTTGCTTGCTTTGAATCTGACTCAATTTTATACAAACAATACTCGGATTCAATTTGACTTAATTTTTTATAATTATTTTATACATAAATTTGACATGACCCAATATTATATGAAATTGTATTCGATTTGATTTGAAATTAATAAAATATTATTTTTTAAATATAAATATAAATTTAAATAAATATAACAAATATATATAAATATAAAATTAAATAAATGATTAAAAATAATTTTTTATAAAAATATATCAGATTTGGTTGGGTGGGTTTGTTTAAAATCCGACTTTAAATTTTTTTTATTATTATCTAATTCGATCTGATTCGAAATTTAATTTTTTTTTTTAATCAACTCTAAGTAGTAGGGTCGGGTCAAAACTCGCATGTCACGGGTTGATTTGTCATCTCTAAAATTGATTTTTTTATTTTCGAATTAAATTTTCCTTTTATTTTTACTTGTACTGAGACTTTGCCCCTTCTAATTTAACCAAAAAAGAAAAGAAAGTCAATTTTTTTGCCGCAGTTTAAAGGAATTTGTTGGGTTAAGTTTATGGGTTTTCTCGGATGAAAGGTAAGTGGTTTTGGGCTGGAGCCCAAAAGCTATTTTTCATTTTAACTCTTAAGTTGCTACGCCTAAACATTCTTTTGGGCTGACCAAATTCTCTCTTTGGGCCAAGCCTAAGCCTAGCAAACCCCACCCCCTAAAGCGGAAACACCGAAAAAAGAAAAACGCAGAAACAGTTGTCGGCATGCTGCAACAACAATGGAGGGAGGGAAGGAGATTCAGAGGGCGAAACCAATCGCCATTTTCATGGCTTTCGGCACCAAAGGAGACGTTTACCCTATCGCCGTATTATAAAAATTACAACTTTTTGAGTTCTTTTATTTTTTTTCCTTAAAATTGATTCAATTGCCTTGGAAAAAGATAAACAGTTTTAATTTCGGTCTTTATTTGTTGTTGATTCCAGGCCATTGCTGCAGCTTTCGCTACCGACCAGAACGGTTACGACGTCGTTTTTATCACTCATTCAGCACATGAGGTGCTTCACCTTTTTTTTCTTCCCTTCCAACTCTAAAAATTACTGATTAATTAAAGTTATACTTTCCTTTTTTTTGTTTTGGGTATTTGCAAAATTAGCTTAAAATAATAAAATTTGATTCATTTTCTTGTAGAACCTAAGTTCTCATTTGGAAAAAAAGAATGTTATGTATGTTCCAATTTCGTCGCCACCTGTTCTGTCTAGTAATGGAACTGATGATAAGACAGGTTTGGTTCGGCCGTTTCCTTTTCATTTCTATGTTAGTTTCTTTTTGAATTTCTGATTTTATCTTGTCAGGTTCACCGGAATTAGAATTTTCGAAACAGAAAAAGGTTATTACAAAAGAACACAGACGAGAATGCTGCTCGGCAGTTGAAAGGATATTCGGGGATGGTCCAAGCTTGGAGGGTGATTTTATTGCGATAAATTTCTTCGCTTTGGTATTTGTTATTGGAAACAAATTCAAGTCAAATTTAACTTGTTTGATATGTTGATAGTTACTGTCAACCAGGAATAAAATGAAAATTTGAAATTTACGGTTGAGATTTGATAGATTTATTGAAACTTAAGACTGTGGGTGTGATGATTCAATTTCTTTTTACGGTTGTCTTCTTGTGATTGTTCAGGAAGGGTGGAGCCTTGGAGAACTTTTTCGTGTGTGTTGTGTTGTTGTTGCTCCTTATGTTGTTCCATATAGGTAAAGGAATGAGTTTTACTAAGAACTGAGCTATGTTATCATTTCTCTGTTTTGAGGAAAAAGGCCAATCATATCTCACATGGAAATGTAGTTTACTTTGTGGGGTTTGTCCAATGTACTAGCAAAAGAAGAAGGGGAATCCTAGATGATTGTCAGGGTCTCAAAATTGAAGTTAATTGTATCTGTTTTTTCAGCAACTTATTTGACATACAAAGGTCTTAGTAGATAATTTAGTTGATGTTATGATTTGTCCAAATGCCTATTGGCTGGCCTGGGTATCTATCCATCTATCTGCAACAAATGTAATCTGTTTTATTTATTGCATAATGAAATAATGATGGTTCGATACTTTGAATGTATTTTAAAGTCATCTATTTATGATCTTAATTTTGTTTATTTGTTACTATATAGCGCACCTTCATATTTTGAGCGTCACTTCAGAAATGAACTTCCTCTTTTGTACAAATATCTCCAAGAAGCTCCTGCTGATAAGGTAGTTGAATCATATAAATTAACACTTATGACAAATCAACTGATTTTCCCTTTGAAACTCTGATAGGATAATAATTTTTAGTTGTTATCATTTTTTATTTAAATAGGTTTTAAGCTTGCATCTTGCATATTAACTCCTTATTGTTTTATGAACACAGGCTTGTTGGAAAGATGTAATTCATTGGATGTGGCCACTTTTTAGTGAAAATTGGGAGTCATGGAGAAAAGAAGATTTGAATCTAAGTCCATATCCTTTTACAGTTAGTACTTCTCTCTTGGGGCCCATTGACTTACTTATTGTGCAGTTTACAATTACCTAATTTATGATACTGTTTGATATTCTAAGCAGGACCCGGTAACAGGTCTTCCTACTTGGCATGATAGGCCACCATCTCCCTTACTATTGTAAGTCATGCCTTCTTCAAATAGGAAGTTTACAAATCAAATGACTTATTGTATGATTGAACAAATCAAGTGCAATAATGCATCCCTCTTTTTATCCAACCAAGTTGTGGTTAATGAGTTGTAGCACTGTATAGGGTTTAATCTTCCATTCTAAAGTTAGATAGAGAGTACTTTTTTAAAATCTTCGAATTTATGAAATAAGGTCCATAAGAGAACTCTTGTTATCTGTGTAGCTACGAGAACTTGACATGATCTTAGAGGCTTTCTTATGATTTAATAGAAATTTTGAGACAAGTGGGAGGCTAACATGCAATCCATTCATCAATAATTTTTTGGGGGAGTTTCGTCTTTGGAAAATGGTATTAAGATTAATATATGGGCATCCATCTCTGATTATTGAGTACTTTTATGTAACAGGTATGGGTTTAGCAAAGAAATTGTTGAGTGCCCTGGTAACTCCTAAGTTTCTGCACTTCTTGTTTCAGACTCCTTTTCTATGAAATATTTGACAATGTTTTATATGTGTTCAATTTTGTTGGAGTGGTTTTTGTGATAAGGGTTTTTTGTAACTAGTTGGTTCTGCAAACCCATCAGTAACTGCACCCTCTTTTCTGTTTTGGTCCTTCTTCCTCATATTTGGATTGCTGATGGTATCAATGTGTTAACAGATTATTGGCCATCAAATGCTCGAGTTTGTGGCTTTTGGTTCCTCCCTATTGAATGGCAGTTTTCCTGCCAGGAATGTAGAGAAATTTCAACACTGCTTTCCTCAGGGCATCTAACCACAGATGAAATGTGTTCAGCTCATGCCGAGTTACAATATTTTCTAAAGACCCCTTTGTCAATGCCACCTATTTTTGTAGGGCTGAGTTCTATTGGAAGGTAGGTTCATAAGCTTTGTCTGATATCTTAGCTGTCTGTAGAGAGCCTTTTATCTTCCTCAACTATTGGGTTATCCCTGTATATTGGTGTTTGTGGACTTCATTTTTTAATCTAAAGGCACAACTTGGATTGATACAAATAAAATGTTGGAACCATGACGTGTATGATCCGATCATGAATCTGTGTGGATTATCTATTTTATGATTCATTGATGGATGATAGCTTTTGAGTGTCTTTTCTGTTTCTTTCCTGAACTAGGTGTTCTTTTTCTGTTTGCAGCATGGGGTTTATGAGGAATCCTCAAGCATTTGTACAGGTTCTCCAAAGTGTTCTAGGGATTACATGTTACAGATTTATCCTTTTTACAGCTGGCTATGAACCATTAGATGCAGCAATCCAGGAAATTGCCAATGAAGCATCTTCTATTTCCAACCAAAGACAGTTAATTCAAAATGGGATAACTCTTTCTGATGGCCGGCTCTTTTGCTTTTCAGGGTGAGTATTTCTAGTTTCATCTGGATACTAGAAAAAGATGAAGATTGCACATGAAGACTTGTTTGTTTGGAAAGTAATAAGAAGCTAATTGTGAGATTCATTAATCATAATTTCTTCAAGATCTTAATGATATAGATCTGAGTGTTTCTAGAAAGGTGTGAGAAATAAGCCTTTTGGATGTTTTTGAAACCTAACATGTTCCATAACTAATTTATGGAAAAAGACATCTTATAATATGACATTTTTGTAGTGTTCTCAACTTTGCCTCTTTTTTTTTTTTTTTTATGGAAAATGGAACATAATATAAATGCATTCTACATTTTATGTGGAAATTTACTTGTCTTCCTATCATGTAAATTAGTATGATACCATACACTTGGCTGTTCCCGAGATGTGCCGCCGCAATTCATCATGGAGGGAGGTGAGAGTTTTACCTCATATTTTATTTTCTTAACGAGGATATTTCATTTCAGTTAAAAGCATAGCAAAAATTAGTTTTGATTTATTAGTTGTGTTACGTTTCTTCAATGGAAAACCAGTGGATCCACTGCTGCGGCACTATATGCAGGTATCCCTCAGGTCAGTTGTATGGTAAACCCTTGTCGACTATATTCATCATTGCAGATCTCCATTATTGTTAGAATGGATTGTGTTTAGCATTTGATTTGTTACTTGTGATGTACATTAACATAAAAGATACTGGGCATCTAATATGGGATGCAACAGCAGATTCCATAACCTGAACATAGTTCATTGGAGTGTGCATGCATTCTTGTTATATAATTCTAGTTTTATATTTATATCTCTATGTGTGTGGTCTTGGTGTTTGTCATCATCTTGTTTCCCGATTGCTCTCTCTCAAAGTTAACACTCATTGCATGGCAGATTCTATGTCCGTTTATGCTAGATCAATTCTACTGGGCAGAGAAAATGTTTTGGCTTGGAGTTGCTCCAGAACCACTGAGAAGAAATCACCTGGTTCCAGAAAATACTATTGGCACAAGTATCAGGGTAGCTGCAAATGTACTATCACAAGCAATACATGATGCATTATCTCCTCGAGTTAAAGCACGAGCTTTAGAAATTTGTAAAAGGATTTCTCTTGAGGTAATGGCTGCCTATTGTGATACATTTTTACTGTCATCTTCTAATCAAAGCTCATAAATATTAGTAGATCAGTAATAATTATGAAGAACTATATGGTAAAAGAGTAGTGGCGCTAATCTCCATAAATGAATGCTAGCAGATTTATAGTTTAGTGATGCATCTCTCTCTTTTGAGATCAACTCTCTATGTAATCCACGGTTATCGTTGCCGTTGGTGCATTATGCATGTACATAGGTCTATCCCGCATATGCATTAGCAGTGATAACTGTTGGTAGATAATGTTACACCATTTTCATAAAATTCCATTCGTTGCTAATCATTCCTGGTTGGATGGCAGATCAACATTTCAAAGAACTTTTATAACTTCATTTTGTAGGACTTGTTTGAGAGACATCAACTGCCCAATCCCCCAGTCCCCACCCATTCCAACCCCATTGTGGGGCAACTTCCTGCAGATTTACTCTCTTTTAATTTTTGGTTTAAAGTTTGTTAGCTGAGCATCATGTTAGGGTACGGAGATTAACAGAAACTTATTTCTTCATGTTCAGGATGGAGTTTCAGAGGCTGTGAAGATCCTCAAGGAAGAGATTGGCCGTACAATTTAAGATGAACTGAAGAGGATGGATGGTTAGTGGTTGTACTTCGACTTTAGACCCGTCGTTTAATGTCATGTTGCCCTTGGTAGATGGGATAATAAATTTCGAATGACGCAGGAAGAAAAGAGCCAAAGAGCAAATAGCAAAGTGAGAAAAGGCCTGAGACTTAAGAGTCAAGAGGAGAAAGCAATCCCGTACGGTGAAGTTAATGAACCACCAAATATCTCAAGCGGATAGAATCCTACCGGATCTAATGTGTCCTTGGACCGACATTCATTCTTACAGCATCCGCTAAAATTGTTTGTACCAAAGGTTATACCCTGAAGTGCTTTGCTTGAACGTAGGCTTTTGAACCGTTTTTGTAGGATAAATTTTAGGACAATAATTTTCACTAAAGCAAATACCATAATGTACACTTCAAAAACATTAGCAGTTGGGTTTTTTTTTTTTTTTGGGTTTATTAATGTATAGATTTATTTTATACATTGTGAATCAGGATGCCACCTTAATGAATAAAAATAATATTTTCTCTTAAAAATAATAATGCTAATACTCTATTAGGTTTTTGATAGACAATATTCCGAGGTGATATATGTTAGAACTTATTTAAAATTTGAATTATTATTAATCGGTGATTTTAAAATTTAATATAAATTTAGTTTTAATATCATTCATGGAAGATTAAATAATTTAATAGTAATTATTTATACATTGGTTTTGCACGTATTATTGGATCAATATTATTTGATAATTGTGTAGATTTTTATCAAATAAGTTTTTTATAAAAATTATAAAAGATTTAGGGTTTCAATATAAATATTTGGTTGGTCATACCCAAGCTCTAACTTCTAACAAAGGGCACGGTAATAATGGAACCATAGAAGTTTACCTTTGTTGGTAGACTATTGACTTTGCAAGTTAAAATTTCATTTTTAAAGGAAAAACGAGAGCCGTGTGAGGCAAATGTAATGAGCTAGCTGACCTAAAAATACTTTATTTGGTCATATGCCTCTTTCTCCCAACTTTAAATAGGACAAGATTAATGCAAGGGCCATTTTTCAACCAGTAACTACCTAGAATTATGATCCCTGGGTTTTTTCCTAGCAGAAAATCTGCTTAGATTGTTGACTGGGTCTTGAAAGTTATCAACATTTGTTGTGGCGTTGGGTTGTTAGCTGACTCTAATTTATAATAATGGAGTTGAAATTTATATAGTAACGCTGGAACCATCCTTCAATTATCAGCTCTTCACCTTTATGGATGGATCAATTGAATCAGAACCAACCATCTGGCAAACGCTATCATCTGTTTCTATCACTATGAATAATTAGCACTGAGGACCGAGGTCTGAGGATGCTAATAACAGCTAGGAACAGGGAAAATTGAAAAAGAAAGGAGCACTCAAACAAATCTTTCCCCAAAGTCTCATTATGCATCAAGCCGAACCCACACAATGTTATCTTTATTACTAATTCAAACCGATTTTTATGGCACTGACATGACCCATTTATTTCGATTGACATGTTTAAAGAAAAATGGGTCCAACCCGCCAACTCCCCCATCCAACAACCCATTATAAAGGCCAACTTCCCTTAGCTAGCTCTTCACTCAATCTTCTAAAACTCACTGTAAACCCTACTTTCTTAGCTCTAGACAAATAATGGTTCAGGGAAGAGGCAGTGCAATGGCAGCCACAGTGCTGGTCTGCTTTTTGTTGCTCCACTTTGAGTTGGCTCAAGCAGCAACTTACACTGTTGGAGGAACCAGTGGCTGGACCTTCAACACTGCTGGTTGGCCTAAAGGCAAGAGCTTTAAGGCTGGTGACACACTTGGTAAGCATGTTCACTGTTTCAATCTTGCTTTCCTTAGTAGATTCAGAAGTATATATATAAATTGTTTAGCATCAATCATGTTGGACTCCAAGAACGTTAGTCGGTGTTGGCTACCAAAATGGTTGTCACCTTGGTGGATAATCATGCCTAGCTAGCCTCAAAATTATGTTGTGCCTGAAATTTTCCAAGGTAATAATGTTTGTGAACTCTCTCTTCCCACAAAATAACTACTTTGACTAGTAGATTTTACGTTCGGGGAATCGATTGTAGTGTCAATTTGTGGTTGAAATGAGAAAAATTGAAACTAAAAAAGTGTAAAAAAAGTTTCCTTTTTTAGATCATATGAGTACATGAATGTACTGCCATTAATGAATTAGTCATTAAAATTTAAGACCTGTCAACGACTTTCTGGAGACATTTAATATATTGAAATGAGTGAATGACACACATAAAAAAAGTAAAGACCTTGGCAGCACCTAAAATAGTAGGTAATTGCTGCATGATCATTTACTGGGGACTGACAATTTTAGCCCAATCTTGTGTTTGTTATTGCAGTATTCAATTACAACCCTTCAATCCACAATGTTGTAGTCGTCAACAGGGCCGGATATAATTCATGCTCGGCACCAAAAGGTGCTAAAGTTTACCAGTCAGGCAAGGATCAGATCAAGCTTGCAAAGGGCCAAAACTTTTTCATCTGCAATTATATTGGCCACTGTGAAGCTGGAATGAAAATAGCAGTCACTGCTGCCTAATCTGAGATCTAGCAAGGGCCAGGATAATCAGTTTGCTTTGTCAAACTTTAAGTATTAGTGTTGGATTTGGTGTCAAAAAGTTTGTGTCAAGACTCAAGGGTCATTGCATGTTAGCTTTGCTTTGTTTGAGTGGGTAGTTGGTGGTCCAAATATGAACTATAATGATAGTTACATGAAAATCTTGAGTAATACTTTGTGTCTAAAGGTTTACTTGTACTGTCTTTTCAATAAATACATAGTGCTATTTCTTTAGGAAAAGTTTCACCAAGCATATATTCCAACTCCCAAGGCATTTGAATGAGGGCATTTCATGGAACATGATCAGATCCATCCTTAAAATTTCATTTCCTCCTATACAGTTGAAGGTGCTAAAGGTGTTCCTTCAATCTTGAAAAACTGGACTCAAGGGAAGAATTTTTTGCCCGATGATGTTCTCAGTAAGTGTGAAACCATACCTATACAAGCTGTTTGCGAATTTTGACTGGAAGCACCAAGAGAAATTAAATCAAAATGATTAAATAAACCCATCAAATGGGAAACAAAAGAAAAAGAAAGAGACTGGTCTGTCTTCTAATCAATGTGAGCTTAGTAACCACTACCTGCACTGCATTTTTGGCAGATTTCAACAATGATCCAGCACTCCACAATGTGATATTTCAGTAGACCAAGTCCGCTATGATACATGCATGGTTGAATCTAATTTTAAGGCATACATATCTTTAAGCGCACGATCAGATTGTGCTTGCAAAAGGATGGATTTACTTCATTAGCAATATCATTACTGGAGTTGTAACAACAAAATCAAGATTCAAGTCAGTGTATGGCCTCTGTTAGAGTGATCTTAACTATTCATGGCTCGAGTACCCAGGAAGTTCTCAAGCAAAATCTTGTCACCACCATTTCTAAAGGAACAAGCAATCACATTGATGAACACAGTGACAATTAATTTAGGAAATTTGTTTCAATTACTGGAAATTGGCCTAAAAGATAACCAATTTTGATAATCAATTAGTGATAATAAATTGGCTTAAATTGGCTTTTCTTGCTTTACTTTTTTATTTTCAGGGTTTAATTTCTTTCATTTTATTACTCTCCCTCTATATATATATGCATAAAAAAAAAATCAACAATTTAGTGTTAACATTATGTTTTCTGGGCATCAATCATCGAGACTTTTATTAATCATGAAGCAAAGGCACATTTACAAACTGAATATTTGTAGCATAGATTTCTTTTTTCTTTTTTGAACCAAGGCTAGCATTTATTTAAACAAAGTCAAATTCTGGATTCCATTTTGTAATTATCCAACATTTTATTATAATTAAGAATAGTGTTTATTGCCTCAAATATTTTTTGGGAATAAAGACTGGACAAATTATTTCTTCTTTTCTTTCCATTTGAGGCACAACCTTGTACACTATAAATATATGGTTTTTCCAAAAGAATGGCTATCAAATTTCATTGTTTTTTAATTCTTATTATTATATTATTTCATATATCGTAAAATTTTGTGTAGGAAAATGATGAGAAAGGCAATTAGACGCAGTTTAATGGTAGTCCCAGCAGCAATATTGCTATCTTTGATGCTGCTTCAATTTGAGGGCGTTCATTCCAGAATTATTGATTCAAAGCCAACCACCTACATGGTTGGAGATGACTCTGGCTGGGACTTGGTCATTGACATGCAAAGCTGGACTCGAGGGAAAAACTTCCATGCCGGTGATATTCTTGGTACACAATATTAATTGATTCTATTTTCACTATTTCATATTAATTTTGTGGTTACTATTTCATACACTAAAATATCATCACATATATTTTTTTTATTTTTTTTAAATAGATCGTAATGGGATATGTGATATTATTTTAATTTCATTGGTGAAATTTATAAATTTCATTGTAGATGTATGAAATAAAAATTTTATAATTGTTGGTATAGTTTTCAAGTACGACGAACAGTTCAATGTGGCGGTCGTAAATCAGACAGGGTATGATTCATGCACCGTGAACGACGGTGCCAAAGTGTATGATTCAGGGAATACGGAAATCCAACTTGCCTTCGGAGCTAATTATTTCATCGATAGTGCTGCTGATGTATGTGCTGCTGGAATGAAGATGTTCATCAACGCCACCGCACCACCCCCATCTATTTACTAGCTATCAAGTTTAATTTCTTATTTTATTGTTCAAATAAATGACAGAGTTTAGTATTAATTTATATTTTGTTTATTATTAATATCTGTTTTACTATTAATCCCATACAAATAAGTTAATACAGTATTAATATATATTATTTTTTGTATTAAAAGTAGAAATTTTTATTACAATGAAATAACTTTATATATCACATAATATATGAGTAAAGAAATCAATTAAATAATCAACTAAATAAAAAATTATAAAAATTAGACTAAACTCTCCATGCAATGGGATTTTAACAAAAAAATCTAAAGATTTTAAGATTATCCTTGCCTCGTTGGCTAAGGCTTGGAATATTTGACCGTACCTTTTCTTTAAAAATTTTGGGCTTTTTGGATTGTTGGCCGGAATGACGGCCCAATATGAATTTTCAAAAATTTTCCTTTGTTTGTGGACTGTTCATTTGTAAATATTTGATATAAAAACTTTCTCAATTTTGTAAAGAATCGGAATTGGGAAGAAGAAATATTGTTGGTTTGGATTATCCAAGTAAAAATATAATTTGGTGAAGAAACATTGGTTTATGTACCAAATATGAAAGGCTCAAAAAAAATAAAAATTATCCATTGATCAAAACTTCAATATCAGTTTTGAATCATATAGATGTTCGACTCTGATTTGAAACTCAAGATTGTGAGACTGATTTTTTTTTCTTGGACTGGGAGAGAAAGGTTAAGTATATGAAGATGATTAAAGGTGTTGATAAGAGTGCCACTTTTGGCCTAGAGGGAACACAAGACAACAAGCTGGGCTTTCGATGTTCTTGTTCCTCAAACATTTTTTTACTTTCTTATGTTTTTTCCCTTTTCTTTCTGCTTCTCCTTCTTCCAACCAAATCATAAGTATTAAATTCGATGTCGTCTGGTAATCATGTGCTATATGTTCGTGCTGAAAAAAAGGAGCTTTATTAGTCAAATTGGTAATTGAAATGCTTAAAATTACACAAATTCAACATTTGTTACTCATTAACCCGCGATGGAATGGCTCCCACCACAATGCCTCGTGCTAGTTAATTTAATAAAAGTTTAATTATATATATATATATATATATCATGATCATTTTAACGAAATTGTTGAACAACTTTAATATTCATGATTTTTAAATCTTCAATGAGTAACAAGTGCAAAAAAAAAAAAAAAAAAGGGTACCGTGTAGAAAAGAAAAGAATTTCAAAGTTTCTACTGTGCTGTGTAGTAATAATTTTGATGATGGTGCAAACTCCACTAACAAAACACTACTTTCAGCATAAGTGGAAGTCAATGATTTATACCATTTCCAAGCATTTTGCTTCTGGGAATCCAAAGCCTCAGCAAAAATCCCAAAAAAATAAAAAAAAAATACATACTGATAACCATTGACAGTGGACTGGAGCAAGTCTTCACTACAATCATGAACGATGCTTTAAACATGTGAAAGTCACCATCTCTTGCGGATGGTTGACTTGTAATAGCTAGGCAAAGGGCAGCTAAAAAAATTAGAGCAAATCGACAAAATTGAGTTAGATATTGTCAAAACTCAGACCTTCTCATCACGGGTTAGAAAATTCCAACCTCCAATCCTCACCAAAAATTGACAGGAAAAATTTTCCAGGTCTAAAGGAATAATAATCAATCTTGATAATGTTACGTTAGTTGTCCACATGAAAAAAAAAGGTTAAAATTATAAAGGAAATTAGAAACGGATATGAAGGATGGTGAATAGATGGCCATTGCCAATGACCAGCCAAAGCAAGTGATAAGCATTGCCTGCAAACTGGATTGCACAGAAAGCCATATAAATTGTAGAAATTAGTTTCTTATTGAAACAGTTTCTAGAGTTCCAGTGTTTAATGTCCTTAACTCAATTATATACGTATGCAAGACAAGCTAGATATTACCTTGTAGGAATTGTTCCATTTACAACATATATACTCATCAAGTATAGCCCTATCTGAAGAGCTTCGACACATGTCTTTCAAGGTGTTGCAGCAGCAAGAAAAGTTCAACATATCAGAATTGAAAAAGATTAATCCTGGCCTTAGCCAACATCGAATAGTGAAGGGTATTTCATTAATTCCTCTTAGGTTTTCTCAGAGAGAAATTTACAGAACCTGTTTGACATACTGGCCGCCTCCACTCCAAGGAGTAATCAGTTAATAAGCTGGTTGGGAGAAGCATTAATGGAGGTGGACAGAATGCCAAATTGGCTCTGCAACAAGGCCTCTGAGAACCCGCATAGATAAGACAAAAAAAGAAAGTGAAAGAGCGGTTAAGTTGGAACTTGAAGGGTAAAAGATAGGTTCCTCGTACTTAAAAGAAATTGAGGATTGGGAAATTGTTGGTCATTGGCCTTCGGAATAAGAATCGGATTTATATGTAGAAAGAGGGTGCATGAGAGAGCATGGTGCTGTACGACCTGATGTATACGGCGGGCGTTCCCCTCCCCACCCCTTTTTTTAATGTTCTCTGATTTCTTTGTTGTATCTTGGAAACAAGGATGAACTTGTTTCTTTGACTATGGGGTTTCATGCGTCTCTTTTGGGCTTTCAAAATGCTTTTTGACTTGCTGCAAAAGGAGGATGCAGAATGGATTGCGTTTGTCTTCCACTCAGCCTGTAATCACATTGTCAACTCATTTATGAGTTCAAATTAACTTTCAAGTCTATGATTAGGATTTATAATTTTTCTTGATTGTGTATTTTGCAAATGATTAGTGTTTTTCTCAACAAATTAAGATATAGTCCTTTCCAAGATACTATTTAGTTTATCCTGCAAAGCCAGATTATATATTCCTTTCCCATTTTCCTTTTGACAGGTTCTTTTTTCAGCAGATCATATTAAGAGCAATCAATTATAAATATGATGAAAAAAGTTTGAGAATTGTGAGTATTATTGGTATTATTCTTAATTAGCCTGGGCTGACCCTGTTGGAGGAACATATTTTTCTTCCTTCTTGAATGTGATAGTGTACTGTAGCAATTGCTATTATACAAAGAAACCTTGAATTATTTGGTTAAATAAGAAAGAGATTTGAAATTGAGGAATCAACATTATGCAGCTCTAGTTCAAGCATACTCGGGAAAATGGGCTTTATTTTTTAACAACTCCAAGCATTTACAAAATCAATGATCAAATATAGAAGGAAAAAAATTAAAAGGCAGAATTTCTAAACAGTGTAAAAAACTGAAAAACTATCAGTATGATGAAATTTAGCATAATGGATCTATAGATTATGACATAATTTCTTAAATATCCTAGGTAGTTCAAAAGAACCGAAGTTGAAAATTGAACCAAACAATGTAACTCACTTACCATTGCTAATTCCTAAAAAAAGGCTCCAGTCTTGATATTTGGTGAAAACCAATTCATGTAACTCCCCCTATCAGTTTTAATGCTAGGAAAAGAACGTTTAATGCTTCCATCATCAAGGTAGAAAATACCAGATTCACGAGAAAGCGGATAAACATCCTCAAGGCTATAAATATCATTTTCTTCTAAAAAGTAAATGCAATTCTTATCAAATTCATTGAAATTTCCTGCTAGCGAAACCCCGTCTCCAACGAATAATGATTGATCAGAGAGATTACTTAACCTGGTAGCCGTAAACGTCGTATCAGTGATTTGAATCTTCGATACTTCAAACCTAGCAGTTTGATGATAGGTTAATAGACGTTCGTTATCCTCATCCTCGTCCTCTTCATTTATGTCGTCATAATCCGAAGTCTCTATGATATCACAGATTTTAGTAACCATGAATAGCTGACCATTTGATTCCACCAATCTTACCATGATTGCACAGTCCTTGTAATACCAGCTTAACTCATCAACATCTGCTGCATAAGATGATGGATAAATTGGTGGACATATGAAAGGGATCAGCTTCAGATTCACATCGTGGCCTCCTAAAGTTACGGAATGGGTTGGAAAAGGACCCAGATTTGCCTGATCTTGTAAATTATTTGTCTTCGCAAAACAGGCATATAGTTCTCCGTTAAAAAAATATATATCTAGATAACAATGGCCATCAGCTAATAGCCCGTCAACGATGGTCCACCTCTCATCCTGTGGTCTACAAAGGGCAAGAAAGTTATCATCATTAGCACAGAATGTTGCGGCAAGTATGCATTGGGATGCATCCGATGAAGATACTACAACTTGAGTAATTATGCAAGCAGCAGGATTCCATTTAGATTGCCGGATGGTGAAAGTTTTTCCAAATTCTGGTATGGTCGACAAGGGTGGAAGTGGAATTTGAACCCTTGAAATCGGATCAAACAGGAAAAATTGCAGATTATGAAATTCAGAGCCCTTGGCGAGGAAAAGCCAACCTTTGGAACATCCGCAAAACCACCCTCCTTGTGCCGATTTAGGGAGATTTAACTTATGAACTTTGCCCTCGGACATGTCAAAGAAGCTCAAATGTTGGGAATTTTCGTGGTAAGGGAGCATCAGCCACAGGAGTTGAGGAGTTTCGGTTGTATTTGTTCTCCACTGCTTACAAACCAGGTTGAAGCGAATACGATCCTTTAAATGTAAACGGTCAAAGATTAATTTCAGTATGTCCACGGGAAGTTTGTCCCAAGGAACTGGATCGACATCATCATCATCGTGCTTCTTCCCTGATATCTTGTTTATGGACTGCTCCGAGAGATGGGAAGGACAACACCTCTCCAGCCAAGGCTTGGAGAAAGAAGAGCAGCCTCTAAATAGATTAAACCCCACACTTTTATACGCAAGAAACAGATATGTTATCATCCTCATCGTGTACCAGATGAGCAAAACAAATAAAAAAAAAAAAAAGGATGAAGCAGAAGTGCATTTGTGGCTAGTTATGTTTATTTGCTTGATATAAATATATATAAGATTGATTTGCCTACGAGTCGAAGTAGGACTCGTCTTTCCTAATTCTAAAGGAATTCGTTCTACTTGTACAAGGATTCCTAGTCTGTGTAGAAGTTTGGCAGATGTACCGCCTCCACGCGTCAGCCCATTTTTTTTTAATATTATATAATTTATTTTAAAATTATAAATATATATTTTAAAATTTTTTTATTTTTTATGGAAATTTACTTATATCAATTTTTTTTTCTTTTTATCATTTTTTACTGCTCTTAAATATATTTAATACCTATTTTTTAATTTTTTTTGTGAGACTTGTTTGATATAAAAAATATGTCACCTATTTATTTATTTTTTTAGTTATATATTTAATAAATAATTTTTTATATTTTAATTTTTTTTTGTAAAACTCACTTAATATCAAAACTATGCCACATATCAAGTTATATAATTCTTTTCTTCAATTTTTTTAAAAAAATGTTTAATAAATATTTTTAAAAATTAAAAAACTTCATATATATGAAATTCATTGATATTTTTATTTTAAAAAAAATATTTTTTAATTATTTTTTACTTTAATAATTTTTAAAGAAAATATTAGCAGAGGTGTTGATATCAAATGCAAGTTTTATTTTTTTTTCTTTTTTTGATCTTTTCTTTATTTAATCTTTTCTTAGTTTTTTAAAATCCATTATATAAATTTTTTAAAAAAGTTTATTATTAATAATAACGCTAGTTAAACCTTATTACTTAATGGCAAAACGTTATACCAACCCGGCAAAATTTCAAAACTGCCCAAACGAGTAACAAATCAAACTGAAGTAATAGGCCCAAAAATGGAACTGAAGCCCATAAAAAACAGTCGAAAGAAGACCCAAACGAGCAAAAATGCCCATGAAGCAGGACATCACCAATGCACGTGTCATGGAAAGCGTTAAGTTTCAACACTGTCTGAAGTCTCTGAAGCTTCTGTAGACTAGACAACCATGGCCTTATCTCCAAACTTCCATACAATTTTTGCCACCTCTCAATCGTCTTCAAACTCTGCTGCATCTCCCAAGCTTCCCGCTTCTCACTCTTCTCTTAGCAGCTTTCACTTCCCAACCAAACCTGTCAAAAGCAACAGCTACAACCTGTCAGGAACATCAGCTCCTGATGAAAAATGGAGGGTCAATATTTCTTTCTTCCCTGCTTTCTTAAACAAAGGCAAGGATGCTAAGGTCCTGAAGGAAGAGCTCCTTGTCGCCATTGCACCACTTGATCGAGGAGCTGATGCCACCCCTGAGGACCAGCAGAGGGTTGATCAGGTTGGGTTTTTTTCTCTTTTCTTATTCCCATGATTTTGTTCTTGAATTCGATGCCTAATGTCTCCATATTCATAACAGTTAGCTCTTGTTCTGAACAGTTAGCACGCAAACTTGAAGCAGTTAATCCCATAAAGGGGCCTTTGAAATCTGATTTATTAAATGGAAAATGGGAGCTTATTTACACCACGTCCGAATCTATTTTGCAGACTCAGGTGGAATTCGGCTACTTGTAGCCATATTCTATAATATATCAAATGTTAAACTCACTCTGGTTAATTCCATTTTCCATTGCTTATACAAGTTGAATTGTTTTAAAACTAATGCTTTGACAGAGACCTAAATTCCTAAGATCAACTACAAACTACCAAGCAATTAATGTGGACACACTTAGGGCCCAAAATATGGAATCTTGGCCTTTCTTCAACCAGGTAAAACTATTCAAGTTTCTAGTTCCACCATTGGGTTTTCTTTTATCAATTTCTGCTTTCAAATTTTAGTCTTAGTAACAGCATTGAAACTTGGTTTTTAGGCTATTTATTTGCCTTTGCCAATCTTGAGTCAAGCTCAAGCCCCCTGTTCTAAATTTTGTGATTAATTTCAATTTCCTGTCTTTTCCTTTTGGCTACTCATATGTCACATATACCTTTTTTCTTTATTAAAATCAGTGTGTGTGTATATATATATATATATATATATATATTAACTTTATTCTTGATTGTGTCTAATTGATCAAACTGTCAAATTGACTTTTATGTTTTATAGGTTACAGCAGATCTAACACCTCTGAATGCAAAAAAGGTGGCTGTAAAATTTGATACTTTCAAAATTGGAGGTCTGGTAAGTTGAAATGTTGAATCAACTGATAGTTTGATATCTAAGAATCTTCATGCTCTTTATAGTATAGTATCAACTTTTTCTTCTACTCCTGCAATTTTAACGTATAATATTTTTATTTGAAGTATGAATTCCTACACTGCAGTCCCAATTAAGAGTTCCCATGTCTACCATAACAAGATGGACTCTTGGGAATGGTCATGGACCCGCACATAAATGAAAAAGCTCCTCTTATGCATTGCAAACAATGTATAGAGTAAATAAATTGTAGGCAGTGGATTGTTATTGAAGGGATGTATGAAATTAAAATCTATATATACAATTGATCTGTATAGGGAGTCATATGAAGGGGATGATTTTAGATCTAAGCAATTTGATGAATTACTGCTAAAAGTTCATATGAAAATAGCATTAGTTGATGTTTGTTTTCACATTAAAAGCCTCAAAAAGTATTTTTAAAATTGAAAATCAATAATTGGGATAGAGAATAATTCAAAAATTTCCCAAAGTTTTACACTTTATTAGAAAGTCTACATGACCTATTAAGAACCCCCTTTAACATGTAGTTTTAGTACCAGTAGTACCTTTTTAGGTTTCTTTCCTAGACAAAGCCATAGATAATGTAACTATTGAAGGCAGAATTAACAAGTATGCAAAGAGGGCATCTTCTTGCCTTAATTAGTTGGCCATTTGTTTCTTCATAAGGAATAAAGATAGAAAAGGTATTTGAGGTTGATACTATGAGTTATCTACATAATTCACTTGGATTTTTTATATTTTTCTTGATTTGCAGATACCTATTAAGGCACCTGGAAGAGCTCGTGGGGAACTAGAGATTACATATTTGGATGAAGAACTGAGGTGAGTTAAATTTCATTGCAACTGCTTTCCTTTCAAAAAGAAATTTGAGTAGGGAGGACTTGGGGTTGAAAGAACCCTGTCCTTGAGCCAACATAAATTTCAATGAAAAGGCAATGAAGATGATAAATCAATCTAAACAAAAGCTTTTCACAAATTTAGAACTTGCTTTTATTTTGCTTGTAATCTTAAATCTTTCAATGGCAGACAAAGCTCACAGAAATGAGTAACACATGGCATATGTGAAATTGGAAATTTCTTTCTTTAAAAGAGTTATTTGTTGGTATTTCTACAGGATATCTAGAGGTGATAAAGGAAACTTGTTCATCTTGAAAATGGTTGATCCATCTTACCGCATCCCTGTTTAATTGAACAGCAGCATCAGCACTTTTCTGCCATTAAGCGTTTACAAGGATGGATTGGCTCCTAATCTCCCACAAGCTTTACCGGCTACATTTTATCGTAGTACATGGTTTGTCATTTGTAAAAAAAAATTTCCTTGGTGAAATAGTTTCTCAAGGCAGCAGGCAAGTTTTGTTGTGAGGCATGTTGTTACTTGGCTTTTTTGGATAATTACCTTCTACCTCGTTGACAATTAGTACAAGAATCGATAATTTTGGATACGATACGATTACGTGATAAAGTGGTTAAAAAATATAAAAAAAGTATAATTTAAAATTTTAATTAAAAAAATAATAAATTTTGTTTAAAATAAAAAGTATATTTCATGTGTTTAGAAATGATAATTCATCAAGGTAAGATCAGTTTTAGCTTGTCCAAATTTCAAAACAACTCTCAAAAAAATTTATCCAAAATTGAATTATTATTTTTGATATACGGTTTCGATCCTTTATATATATATATATATATATATATATTATAAAATGAATTGGATTTGAAATTAATTTAATGATTGTAATTTAATATTATATTTATAAAAATATATTTTTTTAATATAAATTATGTTTTAATTATATATAAATATAATATTCTTATTAAATTATTATTTTAAATTAAAAATATTAAATAATAATTTTGTTAATATATATAAATATAAAATTAAATAAATAATAAAATATGTTTTTATATATATCTGCTCGAGGTGAACTTTGATTCTCATTTGCCTGTGTTTCCAACTCTCAATGCGATTTTTTTTTTTTATCTCTTTTGTCAAAATCTAATATTTATATATTAACATTAAAACATAAGATTGTAACTCAGAAGTCACCCCCAGATCTTCATTGGGGTAAAAAAAAAAGACAGATTTAAGATAAGTCGGTGAACCCAATGGTAAAGGACAAAAAGGTGGGATGACATTGGACGTTTCCAGTTAGGCTGTGACTTACTTTGATGGAAATAAATGATGAATATTTTGAGGAAAAATAAAAGGCAGGTGCTAAATGCTAGTAATGTAAGTGGTGGTCGTGTTTCCAAACGAAATTTTGGGTGTTTGATGGGTTTGGTCTCGTCGGCTAGCAAATGCAAAAATAAATCTTCCAGGTTTTTAGCACACCCCTTTGTTCGCAATTTGCCTAACGGAAAGCCATTCCAACACGTCACTCCTCTCTCTCTCTCTCTCTCTTCTTCGACTTCTTCTTCTCCTCCGTTTAATTCCCTGTTACCTTTCATTTCCCTCGTCTTTCCTTAGAAACCAGTCTCAAAGCTTGAATCTTGAACAAGAATCCTTGAAACCCAAACATACAAAGAAACTTGTTTGTTCACTAAATAGCTTAAATTTTAAAGTACTTCTCAATAAAAGAAACACCCTTTGACCTTATATTTATTATATTCTTTTGAAATTGTTTTTATCGACTTGCTTGATTAAGTCTACTCATGGACTCAATTCTTGAATCTTAAACCCCCACCCAAAAAAAAAAAAAAAAAGCAAAGAAAACAAAAAAATGGTTACAAAATTTGCGGTTACCCAGTTAAAAGCATCGAGTTTTGGGTTGAATTATTTGATTTCTGGCAATAAAGATGTTTCCAAGTTTGGTTATTTCTCGAGAAACCCGGCTTCACATCACAAGTTAAGGTTCAAGCTTGTGGCAGCTCAGAGGGATAGATGGAAGCTCAATTACATTGATACCAGTATGTTTACATTAATTTTTCTACTTTTTTTAGCAGCAGTTGACAGTTAATAGGATGATTCTCAATCCATTGAATTGAAAGTAATTTTAGCAAGTGTCGTTAGCAGAATCCCAAAATGCTTTTTATACTGTAACCGTGTAACAAGTGATTTTCCATTTTTGTTGATTCTTAGTTCTATAGTTGCACCTTTTTGTCTTGACAGATGCTGTGCAAGAAAGAATAAATTCATGGCTGTCAAAGACCCAGCATTTTTTTACTGAGGTAACTTTGCCACTAGTAAAAACTGGTCAGAGTGGAAAGCCTGATCCTGGAAATGAGGTTGGCACTCAAGGAATGGAGGACATTTTTTTGGGAGAACAAACTATTCGTAGTAGTATGCCTAATGGAAATCTATCATTAGCTGCTATTGTGTCTATTGAGCAGTTTAGCAGGTGAAATTATCCTTTACATGTTTCAAGAATTATGTGAATTATGGATTTTGTTGCATTATTATGTAATAATCTATCCAGATTTCTGCATAGAAAACGGAAGTGGTTTCCATATTGGATTGTGATTTGACTCTTGGAAGTTAAGTTTTCAGGATGAATGGATTGACTGGACAAAAGATGCAGAAGATATTTAAAGCTCTCGTTCCTAAACCTCTGTATGATGATGCTCGTAATCTGGTGGAGTATTGCTGTTTTAGGTTCTTGTCAAGGGATGCCTCTGATCTTCATCCCTGCCTCAAGGTCTGTAGAACAATTATTTTATGAACAATTTATATTTTTTTTATTACTATTATTTTCATTTTCTTCATAAGATTGTATGGGCAGCTCAATGAAGGATCTAAGTGGATATGAGCTTATGACCCTTTTCTGTAATTTGTAACTTATTTCCTTGTGTTTCTTACTGGTTGCATGTGTGTCATCAGTGTATGACTTTAGCAACATTCACTTCCAGTTCTACACCTAAAATGAAAAAAAAAAAAATTTGTTTTGCTAATTAATATTTTCAATTTTTTTAAATAATGTATGATTGGCATTTCTATTACGTCTACCACTAATTTCATGAGTCTCATGATCAGTAGTTTCCCCCTCAGTTCCATTGGCTTGTATGCTTAAACCTCTCTCCCTGATTCAATGAAGATTTGTATATCTTGGGAATCATGAATTTCCTAATAAGCTGTTCCTTGGAACAAATTTTGTTATGTTTACAGGAGCTTGCATTCCAGAGACTAATTTTCATCACAATGCTTGCTTGGGAGAATCCTTACTGTGATATAAATGATTTGCATGCTCATGCATCGAGAAAAGCTTCTTTTGAGGTTCTTTTCTTTTATTACCTTTTGAAGCATTCTGAAATTATATTACCTTAGATTATGTTGTTACGTGAACTTTTGATCAAATCCAATTAAATTTGGGCAAAGCCCCCAAAGAAAAAAAAAGAGAGAGAAAGTGCCCTTGCATTTTGCATTCAACAGGGAGTTGCTAGATTATTAGCCATGAAATTAATTCTTTTTATGGTTGTATTGAAGGGAAAGCTTGTGGGAGAAGAGGCTTTCACCCGAATCACTCCTGCAATTTCGGGTGTGGCTGATCACCCTACAGTGCATCACCTTTTCAAAGCTCTTGCTGGTGATGAACAGGGCATCTCATTCAGAGTGTGGCTAACTTATATTGATGAACTTCTCAAGTATGCTTCTGATTCATACTACTACTAGTTTACATCAAAATTTCATGGTCATAAGGTGAATTGACCAGTAATCTTCTGATTCATGCTACTACTAGTTTACATAGGTTATAGGGTCATAGATAAACAATCAGAAATACCTCAACCTTCCCATGCTAAAAATATTACTGAAGAAGAGAGAAACCCTGCATGACTAACATGACTGTCTAGTCATTTCTAAGCATCTAAATGATATTGTAACGCCCCCGATCCCACATCAGGAGGATGTGTGGATAAGGAATAATATATATATGTAGAGACTTAATCCCAAACTTGAGAGGCGCCTTTTGTAGGACAAAACCGTGAGACTTTCGGGTCAAAGCGGACAATACCTCGCAGGTTGGGTGCGGGTCTCTACAAATGGTATCAGAGCGGTTACTGGTCCGCAGTCGTGGGAGTCACTAAGTGCTACACGATGGTCTGGTGTGATCTTGGTCCTGTGGATGGACTCGGCTTGACAGGGACGTCAAGCATTAAAGGTGGGGAGATTGTAACGCCCCCGATCCCACATCAGGAGGATGTGTGGATAAGGAATGATATATATATGTAGAGACTTAATCCCAAACTTGAGAGGCGCCTTTTGTAGGACAAAACCGTGAGACTTTCGAGTCAAAGCGGACAATACCTCGCAGGTTGGGTGCGGGTCTCTACAGATATCTTTTTGTTTCTCTTTCATATTTCTTTTATATTTTTTCATTATTCAAAAACCTGCATATTTCATAGTGTTTAAAATTGGTATAGTGCTGGATGATTCCTTCCTTTTCCCTCCTTTTTAACGTGTCTTTTGTTAGTTAGTGCCCATTTCTGTTAACTAATTCTTTTCGAATTCATTCTGGTAAGCTGGATTCCTTATGGTTTTAGTGTAGAGTGCATGAAGGAAGGAGATCATATCAAATCCGCGAATATCCACAGCTCTCAGAGGAAAGAATCTTGTGCATTGGTTCTAGCAGGAAACGACCTGTTCTAAAATGGGAGAATAACATGGCATGGCCTGGAAAACTTACTCTAACAGATAAAGCGCTGTATTTTGAGGTTCTTATTTTCCATAATAACTTGTTTATCAATTTCATGTTATAGTCTATGATACCTTTTCCATTAGTGAGTTGACTGATGGCACTAACCGATAAGTGCATAGACATTGTCCTCTTTTAAAATTTTTTCTATTTTCCCTTTCCTGCAAATAACTGGTGGATCTTTAACATTCAAAGCACAATGGTGTGCGAGAATACTGTTGCTGATTTGGAAATTTAATTAATTGATGAGTGCATCCAAATATTGGCTTTAGTCATGAAAATGAGTAGAAAAGTTTGAAAATTTTTACAGGTTTGTGAGGAAATATAGAATGAACATATGATCTGTTGGACTGGTCCTTAAATTTGATTTGCGGGTGGAACAGCTGAATCTTAGTATGGCACTGTTCCAATTCTTGGGCATAAAATTGCATTTGAGATTGCTGACTGTCATATTGTTGCAGGGAGTTAGATTTCAAGGGCAGAAAGATGCTATAAGACTTGATCTTACAGGGCATGGAGTGCAAGTGAAGAAAGTAAAAGTTGGACCTTTCAATTCAGGGCTTTTTGACTCTGGAGTAGCTGTTTCATCTGGTCTGGGGTAAGCTTCTCCGATCATGTTTTGGTTTCTACTTCTTTTATGTATTATATTTGAAGTTATGAGCCGAAAGTACTAAACTGATACAAACCACAAGTTTCCGGTATTATACATACATGGGTACCGGGTAAAAGTAGATGTCTGAACTTTGGAATTTGAAGCATTAGAGGCTTTACTCGTGCGGTTCTTTGTTGATAAGCTTACATCTGTCAATAATCTTTTCGGTGCCAGATGTTCTTGTAAACAATTAGGAGTAAGGGATCAAGAAATTTTCTGCATTCTAGCCATCCCACTGACGTGCTTCTGAGTTTTTTTTTTTTTTTTTTCAGTCATGTAGTTGAATATCCTTTTTTTTACTGTTAGAGTTCCTGTTATATAAGTAAATAATTGAACTTCGCTATTCAGATCACAAACATGGGTGCTGGAGTTTGTTGACTTGGGAGGTGAATTGAGACGAGATGTTTGGCATGCATTTATCAATGAAATTATTACCCTACACAAGTTTCTTAGTGAGTATGGACCAGCTGATGATGATCAATCTCTATTTCAAGTATTCGGTTCTCACAAAGGGAAAGAAAAGGCTACAACAGGTGCCATTAATGGCATTGCTAGACTTCAAGCACTCCAGTTTATGCGAAAGTTGTTGGATGATCCAATAAAACTTGTTCAATTCTCTTTTTTGCAAAATGCACCCCATGGTGATGTTGTTTTCCAAACTCTAGCTGTAAATTATTGGGGTGGACCATTAGTTGCAAAAGTTACAGATGCAGGGTATCCACAAGCTTATGGAGTGAGCCCTTCTGAAGAGGTATTTGAATTCAGTGATCATGTATTTGACGTAGATGGAAGTGTTTACTTGCGAAAGTGGATGAGATCTCCATCTTGGGGTTCTAGTGCTTCCATTAGTTTTTGGAAGCATTCTTCAATTAGACAAGCATTAGTGTTAAATAAAAATCTTGTTGTGGCTGATGAGACCCTAGTAGAAAGGGCAGCAGCAATCTGCAAACAAAAATACCAGGCGGTGGAAAAAACTCAAGCCACAATTGACGCAGCGAAACTTCAAGGGATACCAAGTAATATTGACCTTTTCAAGGTTTGGCATCTATTTCTCTATGTTTTTTGTTTTTCCTCATATGCGTGGTTCTTGTTTCAGCAAGATTCTGATCACACCATCAGTGACTTGTTATCTTTGGAATATACATATAACCTTATGTCAATTGATTGAACTGATTTGACATTCTCTTTATGCAGGAACTTATTCTTCCTTTCATAATAACTGCTAGGAATTTTGAAAAGCTTAGACGCTGGGAGGAGCCACACCTGACTCTTTCTTTTCTTGCATTTGTATATACAATTATTTTCAGGTAGACACTTTGCATAAATTATTCTTATGCAAACAATGCTTGGTTTTACTCCTTACAAGCAATACTAACATTCTAAATGGCTAAAAAAATAAAATATAATCATTTGGAGCAAGGTGATGGTTAATTTGTGCATTAAGAACATACATGTCTTAAAATTTCAACTTGTTAGTCTAACTTTTTCAATATGAATTCGTGAGTTGCCACATAAGCCATGCTTTATATTTAGGTCTTAACATTTAAAATTTGATAAACACTTACAAAATTGTTCCTCACTTTCAAGCTTTAGCTCTTGGGGAAAGGAATGGAAGATTTAAGACTTTTTTTTGTGATTGAAGATGTTTTTTTACCTAATAGCTCTTTGGCTTTTATTTAAATGACTTTTTGTTGCTTTTACTCTTATTACTCAATGTTAGCACTTAGCAACTAAGGTAATGTTTTGAACATTTATTTCCTAGAAATCTGCTGCAATATGTGTTTCCCATGGCATTGATTGTCTTAGCCACCGGCATGCTAACACTTAAAGGGCTCAAGGAGCAAGGTCGTCTTGGTAGATCTTTCGGAAAAGTCACTATCCGTGATCAGCCACCTTCAAATACAATTCAAAAGATTATAGCTGTAAAAGATGCCATGCGTGATGTGGAACACTATCTCCAGAATCTGAATGTTACTCTCCTCAAATTACGAACAATTCTCCTTGCAGGTCAGCCTCAGGTATGATGTCATGAGTTATGAAGGGACTAGAAATAGAGCAAATATAATAAGAACATTTTATTTTATAGTGCTTTGGAAATTTTAAATACTGTTTGGTGCTAATTTGAATTAAATTATACTTGTTTAAATGTTTGTACAGATAACAACTGAGGTTGCACTCATGTTACTATCATCTGCAACCATTCTTCTCATTGTCCCTTTCAAGTATGTTCTTGCCTTTTTTCTATGCGATATCTTCACTCGAGAGCTTGAATTCAGGAAGGAAATGGTTCAGAGATTCTTAAGTTTCCTGAAGGAACGGTGGCTCACTGTGCCCGCAGCCCCTGTGATTGTATTACCATTTGAGGACGAGGAGTCCAGATCTGTGAATCAAAGAAGCCAAACGGATAAAAAAGCAATCAGAAAGAAGGAAGAGCAGTCAGAGGCCTAGGTAGTTTGACATCCACATACACGGTAATTTTGTTGTGAAAAATCAGTTCCTGTAAGGTATACACGAAGGCAAAGTTACTTGAATTTCTTCAGTTTTGTATAGGTATTGCTGCACTGATATATGTGGCAATTTAATTTTTGCTGTTGCCATATAATTTACAGTAAGATGATTGTTTGAGTTTGTTGATGGGCAAACTCTTCTGCTCTAGCACGTTATTTGAATTTGACGGGATGGAAAAATTACATCATGTTTTGACACTGAAAATCACCATTTTTAACACTTTTCTTCCTCTTCGAGGTTTCCAGGGGTGGAAAAGAATCCAGACAAGAAAAGAAGAAAAACAAAGCTTAACATCCCTTTAGATTTCAAATTGATACAAATCGAAGCAGCTGTGCAGAGTTTGCTACAACAAAATTTCTAAAATGGAAGCCAATGGTAATGCCAGCATCAAACTCCAGCTTTGAAAGAATGCTTTGAATCCCTCTGATGTGCTAATGCAAACAAGCTTCTCATCATGATAGGTGCAAATTGTATTGTTCCTGGAATCAGCACCAACTCATAACTTCAGTGAGCAAAACAATAAAACCATGGCAAATACCCTTTTATCAATACTGTAGATTTATTTGTGCATTTTTTAAGGTTAGCTAGCTTTACCTTGTTGCACAAAATGCCACCATGTAATCTGATGCAGAGCAAGTTATAATACTAACACGATCATCGTAAGCATAGCTAGATGCTGCGGGGCATACTTGTTTGAAACTCTTGGTATAATTTGTTGGCAAACATGCAGCAGGATCTTCATACGCCCCACGACAACAATACTCATCGGTGTTGAAGGCATCACAAGCACTCCTGCAACCAACAACCGTCCCATTGCTCTGAACAGCTAGATTTGATGAGCAATTTTGCCTCAAGTCTCCATCACAACCCGCAGTGCTGCAATTTCCTTTACCATCACCAGGTTTAATCACAATAGGCAAATTAAAGCCATCTACAACACTAACATCATAGAAGTCGATATTATCACCGAGGGTGAATTGAGCTAAGGAAACAGGCAGGCTACCAGGGCTTGTACAATTTAAGGAAGTGCCACAGCTTCCTGTTTGGCATGTGCCATTGCCATTTTGATCGAAACTGCAACCTGTCCGACCCCATATGCGGCCACTCCACCCATCGGGGGCATTGTAGAAGGCAGTTTGGCTTGATTCCAATTTAAAGCCTTCACCATGGAAGTTGCCTCCACCTGTGATTATTGCAGGCCATATTGTTTCTTTGCACTGATTGACAAGGGTTAAATTTTTTGCATTTGCACACCTTGTTATACCTGCCCTAATATAAACGTAAGTGAATTTATATTCACGTTTACCACTATAAGTAGTTTACGTGTATAAACAGGTTGATTAGATATCAGCCATTAAACTTAAAAAGGAAATATTATGTCTGATTGTTTTATTCAACTACTAACAAACCAGACAAGAAAAAATTATCTTGAATTTGAAATTTAATTCAATTTAGTTGGTTTATACCATCACTCTTAAAAGGTAATATTTAATAAATTTAAAATTTATCACTTATAATTTTTTTATACTAAATTTGAGAGCTTATCTTTTACAATGATTGTAATATAATTAATCAATTACAATTCAAAATTACGATGATCAATCAAAATTTTATATAAAATACATATTTACAAGTGGTGAATCTTTACATAAATATTTATTTTATTTGGACAATTATAGCGTTATAATAAAAAAAATTGTAAGTGATATGATTTCTTTGAACTGCAGTTTTTTTTTTTTTTTAAATAATCTTTGAAATTGATACAATATAATTAAGATGTGTTTGTTGCATAAATTATATCAAGATAAGATAAGTTAACATTTTGAATAAAATTAAATTAAATCTAATCATAATCCTATCCACATGATGGGATACAAATATAGATATTTAAAAAAACCTGCAGTGAGTGAATATCCAATTAACCGTGTCCTCGGGTAAAAAAAAACTTGGAATTGGACAGACCCAAATGTAGAAATTTGATTACTTGGCTGTTTATGTAATTAAAATTTACCTGATGCAAGGATAACGAAGAAGCAGAAAAGTAGTAAACTAGAATTGTGAGGCAATGCCATCCTACAATCTGACAGACGCAGTCGGAGACAGCCATGGAAGACTGAGGATCCTTGTTTTTAAATGAGCATAACTTGGTAGATAAAGTGAAACTGGGAGAATACGTGTTGAAGTTAGTGAATCTACAAGCCCAAAAAGACTTCCTTGCTTACTTCCCTAACCAAATTGATTTATACCTTTGCCTCAATCGCATTACTTTGCACTGAAATTTCTGTATATTTTTTTGGCACTTTTTATTTTTCAATACTCTTGGATATATTCTCTCATTAAAAAAATAATAATAAAAGACAATCCAGCTTTTTAATGAAGGTATTCCGTAGCCAACTCCAGCCTGGATTATATATCCCCAGTATGTTTAGTTGCTAATGATGAGATAAGATTGCAAATTCTTTGATTCATCTGTGTGATTCTCTAGGCTCAGATTTAACAGAAAACTTACTTTAGACGACCATCCCTGAGATTGAGAAGCAAGATTTGCATCAGTTTCCTATAAGATATTACTTCAAACTTGATTTGGTGACTTAGAATATGATACATGATCTCACTGTTTAAAACCTAAATATTAGTACCAGAACATTTGATTCAGTAGTGCAAAAGTTACTGCAAATTGAGTTCAAATTCCCCTTTTTCAAATCTAAAAAATAAAAGCCAGATACTAAGACATGGACACTGGGTGCAGCACATGTTTGGGTTTGGACGGTAGGGTACATTCTTCAATAAGTTATTTAAACCTTTTCATGGCTTTGGGTTTTTCTTTTTTTGGTCATTTTGAAGCCTATATCCATAAGTGAACCCAGTAAACATTATTACTAACTTTACCAGTAATAAATCTAGCTACTGTGGACTGTGGTCCCTAATTTCTAATTCTGACAGAAAGCAAACTCCATTTCTCCATTGAAGAAAAAAGCAAAAGACAGAAGCTGATCATTTTTAGTGGATCGACATTATTCCTAGATTGAATTGAATATATGTTCCCAAAAGATAAATAGACTGAACAATGAGTATGATCTTTACTTAATTTGTCAAACCATATAATCTAAGGATAAAGATATATATGGAATGTTTTTCAGTGTGTCCTTTGTCAGTAGAAAGCATTAGCTTCTGTGCTTCTAAAGTTTCCTAGTTAGCAAAATTCAATTCTATTCCCACATATATCAAGAATGATATTGATATTGCTAATTAGTTGTCTCCTCAATAATTGGTAGGGACATTCAATATCCAAATCCAGATAAAAGCCTTCAAAGTTAGGTGGTGGGCAAATAATAGTATTTAATAGGTGATAGTCATTATTAAAAGATAATATTTAATAGATTTAAAATTCAAATATTAACATTTGTAATTCTCTTCTTGTCTTCAAATTAATTACTTGCTGCCGTTTTTTTTTTTATATATTAAAAAACCAATAAAATAGTTAGAGAATGGGAAAGTCAAACATTTCTCCATTGGTTTAAAGCAAAACTAATGAATCGCCATTACTGCTCGCAGTTGGCTACTAAAATTGAAACCGCTAGAAAAAAAAATCAACAAATCGAATCCACAACCGAAAGAATCTAATTAACAGCCAACAAATTGCTAAATACACCTGCAAAAAATGGTGTAGCAATTATTGAAACCACCCTCCTCTGCTCGGTGTAGCTATCAGGCTTTAATTCATAGTGTCGTTAATTAATTACAAAGGGTAGTTAGAGCATCGAGCCAGCGGAGTGGCTAATATTTAGCTAGCCAGGGAATTTCAACTTCAAGGGTTAAAATTTAAGTTTCCAAGTAATTAACATTTATCCAACTTATCCAATACCCATATATAGTTTTAATATCATATTTCAAATATATATAATTTAAAATTTAATTCAACTGATTTATATTATCATTTTTAAAAAGTAATATTCAATAAATTTAAGATTCAAATCAAATAATAAAAATAAACTTCGATCAATTGAAATGGAGGGTAGTGTTAATAATCCAACTAATCATCTCTGGTTCTCAACATTTACTTAGGGTAAGAGCAGTTGTACTATTTATATTCACCAATCTGACTCTGAAATGTTAATAATTTGCGGTAAATGTATATAAAATGTATGTAAGTACTTCTTAAGTCATGCTTGGTTTGTCCCCTTTTCTTTTTCTTTTTCTTTCTCTTTCTTTTCATTTTCTTTTTCAATTAACACAACAAGAATGTGGTTCCATGAATAAAAAGCCAAAAAATAATTTAATCCATTTAAAACATTTAAAATTTATATATATTGTTCACATTTATTAGAATTTAACACAAAATAGTGCATATAGTTGTACGTCCATACCAAAACTATTGAAGAATGTGATAAACTTGGAAATTGAAGCATCGATGTTCCTTTGGACCTTGCAGTATAATTCTGGTGAAGCATGCTAGGGTGTATTTATGGAAATGAAGCACTAGCTGGTGGAAGTGTTGAAGATATTGACACTCAACTACCCATAGTTAAATTAGGAAAAAAAAAAAAAAAAGCCAATTTTGTAATGAACAATTGAAGTTTTGATTTTATGGCTTTGCCAGGCATAAAGATGAAAAAAACTGTTTATCCAATTGTTAAATTTCAAAGTAGGAAATTGATTATGGAACTTAATTATTGAATTAAGAGTTTTTTTTTCATCTTTATCCAATTCCATTCCTTTTATAAATTTATAAAGAAAAAAATTATTTTCATTAATGTTTGTCTGCTTTTTAATTTAATAAATTATTTAAGCACAATAGTAAATTCATAAGTCCTTTTTATACAACTCAAATTTCAACAAACTTTAATTTTAAGGTAAAATTAAAAACCAAAATGAATTTCATCTGTTAATTATATTAGACTACATATATATATATATTATATTGACTAGAAAAAAATGAAATGAAATTTTAGTAGTTACTTATAAAAAAAAAATGAAATTAAGATTATATGCACCTAAACATATCCGTATAATTGAATTTCTCACATCAACTTTTTTAGTCTAATGAAAAAATCATCTTATTCTTTTATTTTTTAAAAATATCATCACAATCCATAAAAAATGAAGTGTGATATGAATTCGCTAGTTAGGTAGCCGAAGATCAAGCTATTATTATATGTAAATGTCAATATATATATATATATATATCAAAATTACTACTACTAAATATTGAGGAATCCTTGGGAAGTAAAATTCTATGACAATGACAAAAAAATACCTTAAATATGATACAATGATTTAAGGGGCAACTTTTTTCTTGAGGAAACGTGTACCTGACAAACTTATTTACTCACCTGCTTACCATATTTAATGTTGAGTGCAACACCAACGACATTTCCAGCTTTTCTCGTCGGGTGGAGTATCTTGACAAATATCGATTTTCATTTTGCAATATTTTTCGGTTTCCTTTCATACATGAGCGTTGAATATGCATTTGCAGTACTGTTTAATCACATATATGGCTAAAACAAGAATAGCTTGTGATAATGAAAATGAACATGAACATGCAATGTTTAATCATGACTTAAAGCATATGATCTAATAATATTTCCCAAGTTTAATTAGTAATAATTAATAACATTCAAACACTTGAATTGAAATTAAGATACATCGTACCGAACAATTATTCAAAAGAAAGGAAGATACATGGTGAAGAATTAGGACAGTGCACCTTTGGCAATGTGCATATTTGTTTTTTCTTGAACTGAATCATCACCCTCAAAGATTAAGTATAAAAATGGAAAAGAAATGGACACCCAAATTAATTTAGTTACCCTTGACCTTGGGAGAGTAACTCTTAGCGTGGAAGTCTGAGAACAAAAACAAAAGAGAAACGATGAAGACAGCATTGAAGCACCAACTCAAAATCCCAGAGCACCCAGACCCAGTGAAATGGTAGAAGACAAGCATAGCCATGATCAAAAAGCTTGCCCAGAACTGCAAAAGTTGGAAATCTGTAACCATTTTCTTCCATTTTGGGCGTATCCCCAGGGTGCACATCAAGTAGTAAGTATACATTACAACATGCACTATGCAGTTGGTAATCAGCACCACCGAGAAGGCAGATTGAACACTGTCTAAGCACAAGTAACACATGATCACGACCATAGAGTGATGGTATACGTGAAGAAACGATAGCCTTTTCATGGAGTTACCGAGGATGATCAAAAGGGTATCCATGAATTCAACAATCTTTGACAGGTAGAATATATAGGCCCAGAAAAAGAGAGGTCCCGATGGTGATGTGCGCTTAGGGAAGCAAACGAGGGTGTTGAAGTTAGGCACCTGTGAAAAGATTGAAACGAGGCATCCAAGGGCCATGGTGAAAGATAGGGTGAGGAGGAATATGTTGTGGACGGCTGAGATAGATTTCAGAACTGGACGTGCAAGGGAAGGTCGAGATACTTGGGAGAGAATGAACGTGAAGGATATGTAAGCGAATATAGTGAGGGTAACGAAGCGTTGAGAGGCGCCTGGAGTTTGGCCATTAATCCATGAAAACTCTAGGATTTTCGGATGATTCACTAGCCAATCCTCCAAGGTTGGGAAAAAGGGTTGTTTCACAACCAAGCTTTTAACAGTTGAGAAAAGGGCAGGGAAAAAGGGAAGTTCCATTTCTTTCCCTTGCAACTCTTCGAGGTGGTGGTGTCTGCCAAGCTTCAAGAGGGTGAGAGAATGGGGGGTTGGGAGAGAAATGGTGTGAGACAAACGCTAATGGCATTGGTTTTTTAAGCACTGAAAAGTTACTTAATGATTTGACGGATTTTTTTTTTTATCTGGTTGTACGTGATCATATCTAGATGGAACATTGATCAATCAATTCCAATTGCATTATATTCCTGCACTAATAAATTCACCACCCCAACAATAATAATTACTCTCTGTTTTCCTTTTATATATAAATTGGGTGTTACTTATGATTTTAGCACCTCCCTATCAGTCATAGGATTGCTATAACAGCAATATCACTATTTCATCTGTTATATCTCTTCCACATTAAATTGATTTCTATTCTTTTTTTTTTCTTGATCATTTCATATTTCATATCAAAGGAAAGAGATGTCAAATTAAAATCTCAATTGCCAAGAAAATTTAAATGATGTTTCTTAGTTCTAACGATGAATTCAATATCTAAATGGCTTTAAGCATCATAAGTAACGTGTGCATTTCGTTTCCTCTTGAAATCCTGCTAAAAACATGAAGATAACTTCAATTATCATAAATAATGTGTGCATTTCGTTTTCTCTTAAAATCTTGCTAAAAATATGGAATTAATTAGGTATATATGGATCAATAGAGAATGTATTTTGGTAGTATAAAACTAAATAATATCTTTGAAAAATTAAAATCTACAAAATTTCCTAATGAAAAAATGTATGATTTTACTTTTCACTGTATGAAAAAATAATCTTTATACTTTTAAGATAAATGTATGAAAAATGATGCAAACATTAAGATAAAAACTATATTATAATTATTCGGACCATATGTAGTTGGCAATCCTTATCATTTTCCTAGAACCCAACAATAATCAAGCCAATCATCATACCTAACCGAAACCGACCTATCAATTTGATCAGCATTTCATAAATACATATATAAATACATATATATATATTTATATATAATATATTTTATCGATATGTTGTACCATATGATATAAATGGAATTGAATTTGTTTCGTATTTTTATAATATGCTTTATAATTTTTATATATTTAAAACGAGTATTAATCTATCTAAATAAAAACTTTAGATTCAAAGAAAAAAAAAGTTTAAGAGAAATGTTATATACATTTTAATATACACCTTTTGTCCCAATTAAAAGGTTACATTCTGATTTTTTTTATCAAATTTTTTAAACTTTGACCTCTTATTATTTTATATAATTTATTACTAATAAAAATATAAAAATATATTTTGAAATTTTAAACGAAGTATTTCTAAATATATGCTTTTATAATATTTAATTCATTAAAATATTTAAAATAATAACAGACAAAGTTAAAGAAATTGATTAAAAAAAGTTATAAGAATAAACAAATTATTTACTAATATTTTATTCACTAATTGAAAGAGGAACAATCTTTCTAATAAGCATATTGTTAAGATTATCCTTTAATGTATTTGTAATTTAGAAATGTTATACTAAATTTTGTTAACGAATATATTAAAATATTTTTTAAATTATTATACTAAATAATTTTTTCAATTAATAATTAAAAGTCATAATTAACTATAAATTATATATTTTGGTTAATACAAAAATATTATTAATAAAATCTTTTAAAATTTTTATTAAAAGTAATGAGTGTAAAAGCAATAAAAGAGGCATAGCGGCAGTGGATCAGGCGCGGTGAGAAAAATGGGTTGTCCTACTCACAATAAAATCATACCTAAATAAAGAGGACAGCTGCCGCAATAACTGTCACTGAATACGAAAGAGAGAAGTTACCACGTGTCCTGTCTGGAACTCCATGTGTGTCGGCTGTAGTTCTATCTTCTGTCTCCTTCCAGCTGCCTATATTATTTTAATTTTCATTTCCTCGTATTGTGATTTGGTTAACTATTTTTTTATATAAAAATGGTTTTGTTAATTAATGCTCTAAAAACATTCTTATGAAATAGTACTTATTCAATAATTACATTATAAAAAGTTAATTATTTATTATATATAACATGTATAAATTTATTAAAATAAATATTTATCATTTAATTTCATATGTGACGTGTAATTTATTGTTAATGTTCAACATAGCATTTAATAAAATAATACTAATAATTTTAAAAAGAGTAAAATCCAATATAACCACCATATGCTCACTATTTGAGATTAATTATATTATTATTTATAATAGACGCTTTTAAACTTTATTAATGGAATTGAAGAGTTGAAATGTACTCTTTATGAAATATTTTAAAAAATAAATTAATTAATATAATAAAAAAAATACATAGATAATCTCTAGATATTACTTGTAAAATTTAAATTTTTCATTAATTAGTGTATGAAACAATTGATCATCAAAGAAATATGGATTGGATTTTGGAAAAACTCTCTCACTCTCATCTCATGCATGCATGCACTTTCTTTTTCATTTTCTACATATAAATATACAATTGATCATCAAGTCGGTTTCCCTTTTCTTACTTTATTTGCTAATTGCCAATATTTTAAATCAACCAAAAAAAAAAAAAATTAAGAGTCGAAAGTTGAAAGTTAATTGCAAGATAAACGTTTGTAGCATAATGAGTACATATTCTTAAAAAAGATTTTACACTTTAAAGTTCTTTCTTTTAGATAAAAGAAGATGTTTTAAATTAATGTACCAAAAAAAAAAAAAAAAGGATGTTTATGCAACTTTATGAATCAAGTTAAAGGTGGAGTTAGAGTCGTAGTACCTTTTTCATGGATCATCATCATATGTATGGAATAATATTATGATAGCAATTATATTTATCTACGACTTATGGATATGAAAGAGGACAGAAGCAGTTGGCCAGGCAATGACTGAGCAGTGACCCATGGAGGAACTAAAACTGTAGGAAAAAACTGGAGAAACAGCAAAACAGCTAGCTGAGTTCTCCAACGATCAACATGAAGTTTATCATGGCCCCTTCAGTCAGATCCTACATGCTGATAAGCTCTGCTGAGTGCTGATCACAGATCTAGCTGGCTAGGATCCATCTTCTTTCAGTGGGCCACTTTTCTCCATGTTAAATCACTTCCTTAATTACTAATTATCTTTCTTGTAGATAAAGATACAAGCCCAGGTGTTGAAAATTTCAAGCATTTAAGATTCATTCACAAACTAAGTATTAAAATTCAAATCATTATTACTAGAAAAAATTTTAAGGAAAGTTTTGTTTAGTGACAATGCTAGCTGGATTTTGAAACCAAGTTCTCCTCTCAGAAACCAACCGGTCTTTTGAGGAGAACAAGAAATTCAGGTTACTTGGGCCAAAAGCCCGCAATTCCCTGATAATTTGGACTAACGGTATTTCTCAATGAGACTTGAAATGGATATCGGAAGTGTTAAGAACAGTAATTTTTCATGGGATATTAGCAAGGTAGTGGTACTTCTATTTCGGCAATATCTCAATTGATTTTTGTTCATCTAGCTATGGGCAGCAGAGTAAGTTGAAGTAACAATAATGGACAAATCGAAATCATTAAAAACAAGTAAAAGATGTTACATTGTTACTAGGATAGTAGGATGAAAATGATCAATCAATTTGCCAAATCGTACAGAATCATGAGCCTTTATACTTACCAACAACCTTTTTGTTGGCATAACTCTTGCCATCAAAGTCAAGAAAGAGTGCCAAAAGAGAGGCATTGAAAACAGCATTGAAACACCGACCCCAGATTCCAGAACAACCTAATCTTGTAAACTGATGGTGAAGTATCAAAACAGAAACTAGAAAGCTGAACACGAGCTGCACAATCTGGCAGACCGGTCCCTTCCAACATCCCAATTGCGCATAATAAATAGCAAAAGTAACGAATAAGTGGTTGGTTCAATTGATTAAATTCGTCCTCATCGATGAAAATGTCTTAGATTCAAGTCTTGCCGGTAATCATTTATTAAAGTTATCTTGAATGCACGACTTATAATTATTTGTCTTAAATTGTTAAGTACGACACATCTTACTCTGATGTTAAAAATTAAACAATTTATCTACCCCAAATATTTTAAAAAAAAAAAAAAAAAGCAAAAGTACATTCTTACATGTACGGTTAAATTGGAGACAAGTTCTTCGATTTGCCTAAGATAATCAAAAGGGTATCTATGAATTCAAGAATCTTGGAAAAATTGATGATGTTGGGCCAGAAAAAAGAGGGGCCGGGTGGGAGGTGTGTTAGGAGGGAAGCAAATGATATGGTGCAATGGAGATGGATGAGATACGATGGAAAGGGTGCAGCCAATGGCCTTGATGAGCAAAAGAAGGAAGAGAGTGAGGGAGTGGAGGGCTGTGATGGGTTTGAGGATGTGGGTTCCACCGGAAGGGAGAGGGGCTCGGGAGAGGTAGGTGAAGACTGTCAGAGTGAGGAAGAGTGGAGTGGAGCCATAGCTTTGACCTTCAGTCCATCGAAAATGGAGGATTTTGGTGAACAAAAACACAGTGAGGTTCACGCATGAATTTCAAAGTGTAAAGTATTGAAACTGGGGATGACTGAAAAAGCTTAAGATAAATAAATTTGATCTAATTGGCATAAAAGTTAACAGTATCAATGCTCTTCAGGAGAACAAATTTTCATGGGGGACAAACTATATGGTTATAGCACCTGCCAAATGATTCAATTCAAATTAAGTCGGCAATACTTGAGAGGAAACAGTATATTTATGCCTTATACTAACTTCATGTATAGAAACTAATTGAACAATTAACTGCACAACCCTCTATTGTAGTTCGTCTAAAGAACAAGTATCTGCCAAAAACATACCTTCCAATTTATTTCGGGTGCAAAAGAAATCAAACGACTCAACTTGCAGTGTAACACTTCATTGAATATAACAAATATTTAACAGCAAATCGAAATGAGAAGCAGTCAAGAACTCTTCACCAAAATAATCTTCATTTTACAGTTAGTGCTGGTGCCATGTGGATTTTCTTTAGACAGTAATCAGCACTTGACAGGAACCATAACAAATCCACACCTTGTTGTGGTTCTTTTGTATTGAATAATCTCTCAGTCAAGCAGCAAAATTGGACAGCAAAGGTCATTTGTCAACTATCTATGCAGATCTTGCAGTTACCTTCTTCCGGACAATCCTCTTTCTCCTGGCCTTTGGCCCATCTGCGGCAGATTCGACGTTTCCTTGTTTGATGCCAAGAAGTCCAAGACCAGAAACAATGGCATTCTTGGATATAAGCCACTTAGAAGATGACCTACTCCCACCCTCAGAAGGTGTGTTGTAAGCCTTCAAGAGGTTATCTGACTGAACCAGTGGATCCACCTCAACACCTAGCCAAGCCAGCCTTGATCTCTCTCCTAATTGAACATTCAAAACCCTGCATAGAACCAATCAGGTGAGGTACAGAATAACACAAACTCCACGGAAGTGACCAACAATGAGTTCACAGTGCAAAAAAAAAAAAAAAAAGAAATCAATTTAGTCATCTTCCAAATGATATAATGCTAGTGCCCGATGTTTTTGTTGATCTAGATAGTGAGATGAGTAACCATGACACAAGCAAGAGAGATGGGAAAGGAATTAGAGATCCCTTGATTAAGTAGGAAAATTTAGAGAAAAATATTAGAAAATAGAAATGCTAGGACTCTATTTTAGCAGTAAATATAGAGAAAAGGCATTGGGAAGATGACCGGAATTCCCAAGCAAAATTATGAGAAGTACTTAGCACAACAAAACGAGAGAAATAAAGAAGGGATTATGGTGAGGGGGTGAGCAAGAGAGAGATAAAGACCTTAAAGCTGTGCTGAAGAACAATGCTACACCAATGACATCAAAATGGTTGACCATTGCTTGATCAAACCCACACAAAAGCTGATATCTAAGGTTTGCATAGAGTCCGAGGAAAGCACCATAACCAAGTGCATTGGTACTCACGGATGGAATTGTCACAGAAAACCTGCCAATAGTACAAAAAGCCTACCATTAATATAGAAGTAAAGAAGCTTGCAAACAACAAGACAATTTTCTGTTTCAAAATAAATGGACTAAAAAGGTAATTGAAACATAGTGAAATCTACTTACTTTTCCTTCTTTTTGCTGGCCAAAAAATTTGACAAAGAACCTTGCACTGCCCCAGCAGTTAATCCAACAATACACAACTCTGCAGCCTTGTAGAAAAGAGAATGGATTCTCTTTTGCAAGTCAAATTCTCTCAGTGGGTAACTCCGTTCAAATATATTGTTCGGAAGCTTCTGCAACGTGTTTTGCAAGTCAAACCGGAAGGTGTTGCCATATGAACGACATGGAGCAAGAGACCAAACTACAAGAGCATTGCATGCTGCTACTGTAAGCACATTCATAAGTGCCAGATCCCATTCTTGCTTAATCCTGTAGATACAGTGAAGCAAGTCTTTATTAGTTTGATTTACTGAAATGGATCAACAAGCAAGCATGTATCTTATCATTTAAGAAAAACCACCTATCCTTTCGATTCTTCAACTCCCACCAAACAGAAGAGCCAATAGCAGCAACCTCCTCTAAAAGAAGTCTGTATAAAAAGGCAGGATCTGCAAGCATCCTGAAGATAAAAATATTATACATAAGTATCGAGCAACAGATTCAACCATATGCTGTGATCAAATATTCATTTCATTCAGATTGCTGGAGACATCCTCAAAAGGTGCACAGGAGTATATCTTGGCTTACCTGCCAATAAATGCCCGTGACATTCCTTGAGGAAGTGTTCGAGAAATAAGTCTACTAGCAGTTGGTCTGGCATTAATTGCTAAGAATTTTACCATTTGCGCCGAACTGACCAATCCCTGAAGGCAAAAAGTTTTAGTCAGCATCTGACCACAAAGCACAAAGTCCCAATGATGTGATAAAGTGATAAGAAAAGATACTATACCATTTCATAAGCTTGCCGGAAGCCAGCAGGCAGGTCCATCATCGTCTTGTGCCACTCATTCAATACGGCATCAACAAATTTTCGATCAAAAAGCTGGAAAAGAAAATGACGGAAAATCAATAATTCGAGTGAAAATTTATTCCTTACAAATTTGACCAATATAAGTTGTTAAAACATGCATGATGTATCTGCTGGACCTTGATCTCTTACCTCTTCAAGAAACATCCGCCTTCTAAATAGTCCGCCCTCTTCTCCCTCCCCATCTTCATCAAAGTCATCGAAATAATCATCATCATCTCCATCATCATCACCTCCATCCCCACCTCCATGATTAATTTTCTTTCCAATATCTCCACCACCTCCCCCAGTTGCAAGCTGTAATTTCAAATGTATTAGCCGATCCTTCCCAAATTTTGGAAAACTTTTAAAGGAAAAAATGGTATAAACAACTCAAAGAAATAGCATCTGGTTTACAATAAAAACGTTGAATCTCATGCTTCAACCACTAATAGCAAATTATTGTGGTTAATAGTACAGGAGCATTCAAAACCAAACCCTCACACCCAACCAACAGAAAATAGCATAAACATAAAGATATCCAAACAATAAGTCAGCATAAACCTGATGTATAAACAACTCCTAGACCCAGCCATACATTCATAACTTGTTACATAACCACCATTTTAACAAACCGACTACTGTATTCAAAACCATTTTAATAGTACAGGAGCATTCAAAACTAAACCCTCACACCCAACTAACTGAAAATAGCATAAACATAAAGATATCCAAACAATAAGTCAGCATAAACCTGATGTATAAACAACTCCTAGACCCAGCCATACATTCATAACTTGTTACATAACCACCATTTTAACAAACCGACTACTGTATTCAATTTTCGATATGTAAATCATGCATGCCAAATTACAAGGAGGTAGGGTTTCTTAAAAAAAAAAAAAATCCGAACAAAAAGAATAATGTTCCTCATTTAACACTGAAAACGTTTAAGTTTAAGAATTATACAGGAGGAATACTGAAACACATTTAATCATCATCATCATCATTGTAAGGTTTTGTTCCAATCTTCCACCAATGGAGAATATGATCATTGCAAGGATGGGATAGAAACAGTGATCTATAAAGCTAGTTTAACTCAAAAATCAATTGAGCTTCAGTATGGTATATGCCATGCTCTGTTAGATAGAACATCTAGTTAGAACATATCAGCAATCAGCGGTTCTAGAAGTCCTACAACTGATATTTAAAACCTCAGTTTCAAAATATACATTTAATCTTGCTCGATATTATGAAATAGAAACCTTCAAATTTTCACAAAAAGACAAGACTTTTCAGTAGGAAGTAACTCTTTTTTTTCCTTCAAGCTTAGAAATAAGCTAAATTTTCCGTTTGAATTCATTCACTACATCAAAATTCAACAAATTTCATGAAAGTATTTTCTATTGTTAATTAAATTCAAGAGAACCCCTTTTCTCCACATATTTAATCAAAATATAAAGTATTCATTAACTAAACCATTCCTTGCTCTAATTTCAAGAAAAAATGAAAAAAGAAAACTACTTGATACCTATTTCTCAAATTAAGCTTAGGCTAAAACTAAAAATTTTGGAAACTAACCTCAGGGCTAGACGGCGTGGACTGTTTCTGAGACAAATCAAGCTTCGCTTTCTCCAAGGTAACCGCACCAAACGCACCGTATTTTGCTCCTTTCCCCGGTCCCACTTTCATAACCGGTCCCACCTCAACCGAACCTGAAGAACCAGACTCCACTGGCGCCGGTGGTGCCGAGAAACAGCGCTCGAGAGCAGCAACGGAGGAATCTCCACCGTCGATTAAAGAAGAAGACGAACATCTCACTGTCAGAGTCTTCCTAAGCTTACAGGACAAAGAATGAGTCGGAGGCGGCAGACTCGGTTTTAAGAACAATGTTTTGGGAAGTGGAGAGATTTGGAACATTATATGAGACATTTTCTTGTTATGGTTTGTGTTTGGACTGAGAGAAAGCTTATGGTTTTATTTTCCTTCCCGAGAAAATTTTTTATAAAGGAAGTTCTTGTTTTATATTTTCTTTCTCTCAAGAGGAACAGAAAGCTAAGAGAAATGAGAAAGAAGGGATTGGGGGAATTTGATGGATAGTTTAGCCAACTACAAACAACACAACCGTCCAGTCCGATTCGCAAGAAGAAATTGAGTCGACTCAGGTGGGCATATCGTGAGTGGCATTAGCTGGCTGGGTGAGTTTGGGTCTTGTCATTTTCGAGTCGTGGGCTCATTTTCTTGGGCCAAACGAACAAAAGTTGAAACACTTTGTGGCCACCAAATTATATTGGGAGTGAATTGACAATTAAATCCTCTTTTTATTATTAATTGCAATTAATTTTTTTTTTTAGTAATAACAGGGAAATGATGAAAATTCTTCAAAGAGAATTTTCCAAATAGGAAAATGTTTTCTCTTCTTGGATCCCCTGCTAAAGACAGGTTGGAATTCAACGTTGATTTTGATGTCATGCTCTCAAAAATGGAGTCAAAGGAAACTAATATTCTGGGAAAATGATCCTGGAAACTACTACGGGCTATGGCAGAGAGAAACGTGGCCTCAGACGAAGACTGCTAAATTACTAGCAGTAATGGCTGAACTCTCAAGAAACAAAAACCAGTACAACCGAGTTAACATCATTTCTCAATCATCCTTTGCTTTTCCTATATGATTAGACAAACTCAGAAAATTACAAACTGAAATCCAAGAGAAAAGGAATCCCTTGCTGTATATCCAGAAGATATCCTTTTCTCTCTTTTTGTTCACACAACTTTACTTATATAAGAAGCTTTGAATTCTTCTTCCTCAAATCTCAAATACGTTTTCTAAAAATAAAATCAATCCCATAGAAAAAACAGGTATGTATATATAGGTGTCTAAATCTATATACAATACTAAATTTCAAGATATACAGCATTGATGGAAAAATAACAAGATGTTCAAGCCTTAACAGGTATTTTTATTTTCTTTTATCTTCCATATCTGTTGCAAAATACCCCAATTCATTTTAGCAAAAAATACATAAAATTTCATTAGAAGTTGAGTTGTTGCAAGATTTTGTTGTTATTGGTAATAAATTTTTTTTTTATTGAGTTCTTATGTATTTGCAGCTTCTTATCAGGTGAAGATAACATTATATGCTTTGAATTCAATGTTTAGTCACATAAATGGATGTTTATCTGCTAATTCCCTTCTTCCAGCTCTGTGTAAATGTTTATGAAATTCCATCTTCCTGGTTCATTATGGTAAAGTCACATATTAAGATTCCATTTGAATGAGTGATGAAATTGATTATAATAAAATTAAAAAAAATAATAAAATTTATTGTAATTACAATTAAAAAAAGTTGTTGTAATTATGATTGAAAACAAATTATAAAACATTTATATTAATTAATCTCATTAAAATTGATATTTTGATTCAATTAAAGTATGATAATAATCGTATTGCACAAAAATGGGATCCAAAAAACTACTAAATCTCTCATTAAAAGATTAAAACAAAAAAAAAATCAAATTCACTTTTATTGTTGTTGTTTCATTCATCCAAAATTTAAAATAAAATAAAAAAACAAATTCACTATTGTACAGAATATTTTCTTTGTTCTTTTCTTCATTATCACATTAAAAAAAATTAGCTTGGCTTGGTTTGTTAGCCTTTTCTTATTGAAAAAAGTATTAAAGAATAAATTTCTTTTTTAAAGGCTGTCCAATAATGTTCATGTTGTTCCAAAATGCCAAAATTCAGAACTTTGTCTTCACGCATAAGTTTTTTGTGAAAGTTCAACTTACTATATTATCCACATAAATTAAATCACATAATCTTTATTACTTCATTTTTTTTTTCAAATAAAGAGCATTGTGTTTTGTACTTTATAGCCTATATTTGTTTATTTTTCTATTTCAAATTTTCAATATTTACGGTTATATTATTAAAAAAAAAATCAATGAAAACTGAAAAACAAAAAGATAAGAGAAAACGTTTCATTAGACAGCGCCACGTCAGTTGCAGAAGTACAGGATTTTGTACCTCCAAAATTACAAATGACAGGAGGCCAGGGCTTTTAGATTTCAGAACAGCAGTTCAGTTTCGGTAAGACACTGGTCTGGTCTGGTCTGGTCTGGTCTGGTCTTGGTCTGGGCGAGGAATTGGATTGATGGGATCAGCTGTGCCTCAGCCATTCCACTTCCAGTGGGATTTATGGGACCCATTACCATCATCATCATTCAGAGTTGGACCCACACCTATCCACGTCCTCGCCACAGCAACTTCTCTCCGCCTCGGCCACCTTCTCCGCCACCAGCTCCGCCTAGGGTTCCTCCTCCGCTCCTCCTTCAAGGTAAACCCTAAATTACTCCCTCTCTTTCCATTTTCCATCTGGGAAAATCCCATCAAACTAATCAGGAAAAGAAGAGATAGAAAGATTGATTTTTAACTCTCTTGTTGAAACAGAAACTCTCTCATCTATGTAATGTGCCTAGATTGAAAGACGTTTGGTCTGAAACAACTTCCAACTTCACGGAAATTGACATTTTTCAGTTTTCAAATGATGCTTTCACGTCTTCATGTTCATCTTACTTATGTTTCTTCAATGGGGAAGAGAAAAGAAAGGAGCTTGGAAATGAGGGTAGTGATAATAGATCATCAAAAATGGAAACTTCCTGGAGAAATTCATTTAACAGAAGGAAATGGACTAACATCCTTATAGCAATTAATGTCTTGTAAGTCTTCCCTTGTCAAAACAATTACATGTTCATTCAACAAAATTGACTTGTCTGTATAAAACAAGATTTAATTGTACTGGTTTATGCAGAATTTATCTTGCACAACTGGCAACACAAGGGAAGCTGTTGCTTTGGGGAGCTAAGGTGAGATTGGGGGTCGATTCGTGAAGAAAAAAATGGAGTCTTTATCTGTTTTTCATTGTATTTTTGGAAACTGTGGGTTGGTATTTGATTATATGTTATGTATGCAGATCAATAGTCTTATTGACAAAGGACAGATTTGGAGGCTTGCCACATCTTCTCTTTTGCATGCAAATATAGGGCACCTTATGGTTTGGTTTGAATCAGATGGTTTCAAATTTCTCAATTAGGAATGTTTGTTTCTCTATTTGAATGGGAGGATTTGTTGTTTTCAGGTCAATTGTTATTCTTTGAATTCTATTGGCCCTACTGTGGAGCATATAAGTGGACCAAGGAGATTTCTTGCAGTTTACACTGCATCAGCTATTTCAAGTAACAACTCATAAACTCGTTATAGTAGGTTATAAATTTCTTACCTGCTAGTACTGTTTTGACTCAATCACTTGAAGAAAACTAGGTGCAGCTACGAGTTACTGGTTTTGCAAAGCACCTGCAGTTGGTGCATCAGGAGCAATCTTTGGATTAGTAAGTCATTTTGAACTTGTTCTTAAAATAAGATTAGATGTTCATAAGAACCTGTTCCAACTAACGGTGGTCTGCCTTGGAAAAACTTTTAAGTATTTTCAAGCTAATTGTTTGCTTTTTTATGTTCCTTCCTTATCTCATTGACATTCTTTTGTTTGTCTAGGTTGGTTCTGTTGCTGTGTTCGTCATGAGGCATAGAGGCATGATCAGAGATGCCAAAGATGATCTACAACACATAGCACAAGTTATTTTCATAAACATGGTATGATTCGAAGCTTTTGCAACTCATTGTTTGAGAACACAAGGAACCATATAACGACCTATTGAAAAATCTGTCTCACACATACCAAATTAAGTTCCTTGACATGCCAGATTTTTCTCTGCGAGAGTTAGATGCCTGATTGAGTTTTGATTTATTCAAAGTTTTTGCTATGTTATTGGTGTGATACTATGACTGCCTTGAAAAGAATGTAGTATCCAGCGTGCTCCAGCCAACTATATATATAAACTCTTCACTCTTTTTTGCTCCCACTTTCATGAGCTCATTGGTAAAGAATGTTGATCATGCAGGTTATTGGGCTAATCTCCAAAGGCATCGATAATTGGGGACATGTAAGTCTAACTACCATGCCTTCTTACACAAGTGTGTACCATGCCTTCTTGCACAAGTGTGGTGGTTGGTTTAGGCATTGTTTAAATTCTGAGTATGGGTTTTGTATCCCAAGCAGCTGCTTGTGCTTTATCTTATCCAAAACGGTGCTTTATCATTAATTTTAAACTTTTTGAGATTTTCAAAAATCTAATATCGAGTGCTATTTGCCTTTATTTTGCTATCTCTTGTTTTATTTCCTGTGGTAATTTACAATTTCAGCTGGGAGGCTTTCTTGGTGGAGCAGCAATGTCCTGGCTTCTTGGACCTGCCTGGAAGTATGAATCTATGGCCAGTGATGGAAGAAGAATATTCTCAGACCGAGCACCTATTTTTTACCTTATTGACAGAAAACGAAAACCTCGATAGACCAGTTGAAGTATTGAAAATCGTCAATGTATTCTCATAAATTTTGCCGCTTAATTGCGAGGGCTCCGGTTTAAGTTAATTGTAGACGTACAGATGTTTGCATAGTTCTTTCCGTAAATTTGTATTCCCCACACCAACAACCCTTTTGTCTTCCGATTCAATATCATTTCTTTCTACCAGTTCCCTGAAAATGTTTCTTTTTGAGGTTTTCCATTTCTTGGCGGAAGGACTGTTAATAGAATGCAATCAAGAGTTACCTGTTGCCACTCAGTTTTTCTTTTAAGTATTTTACAATACTTGGTCAATACTGGGGAAGTAGATCGCCCAACTATGATGCATAGCATCCAATCATGTTTGCTTAATATGCGGTTTGATTGGTAGAGCTTACAGGCATCGAGCTTTGGCCTTCTATGGTGGATTGAACAGGAAGCTAGCATATCGTGGTGATTATCTGGTTATCGGTTATCCATTAAACAAGTAATAAATGACGATCTCGAAATGATAATGCTAACTCAGCATGCAATCTCAAGGGTGGGTCAAAAACAAAAACCTGCCGTTAGACCAGTTGGACTGCAAATCTAAATTGGCTCACGAAATGGGGACTGCCACCCACCGCACAACAACCATCATTCTTATTGGACATGAAGTTTCTTTTGTTTTTTCCAAAATTTTCTTCTTTATTCTTTCCTTTCGTTATCCCATCCAGTTGTCGGGTGCACCAAACACACCCAAAAAGGGCACGACACATCAGCAGAAATCCAGATGCCTACTTCATAGCAAAGTTGGATGAAATATGACAGAGACTAGCAGAAATTGCCTTCTCGTCGATGTGACATCACCATGAAACTAAGAATCAAACACCATCTTTTTACAAGAAGCCAGTCCTGATAACCTTCTTTCTGCCTATGATTCCATTCATTAGAGAAAGCTATTCAACATGCTGAAATCATAAAAATATATATATACTCTTTTTTTATCTTTCCTTCAGTATCATAAGACACTAGTTTTTACATATTTCCACATGACGTTTTAGTTGCTCAAACAGAACCAGCATATTCTTTACACTTGAATCAATATAAGAGAAGGTTCTTCTTGATACTAACGAGGTGATGCCTGCTTCTTAAGTAGTCACCCCATCTCTAGGAGTTGTTCCCTTTGGAAAAACATCCTCTGTTTTTTGTCATAACATGGTAAACATTCGGAGTAAGATGAGTGGCCTGCCGATTTTCTGGCTTTGACCATCAGTTCATCTTCTATCTCAATTACATGTACATTGCTTGCCTGAAGGAAAAGGAAAAACCTGGAAACTTTTCACAGGTGCTTCTACCATCCCTGCCATATCAAAATTTGGAAATGAACATCATCTACCATAGTCGTTTGGATGTCTTGGAACTTTGGATGGTATGGCACAAAATGAATCAAGTCAATCATAAAAGGAGATGGCAGATCAAGACTCCTAAAAATCCCAATAACCAGAATTCCTTGGGAAGAACACTTACTGCTTTAGCTGCAAATGTACACAACAATCACACAAACAATCATTGCAATTAGCTATAATCTAAATAATGCAAAGAAAACTATAAATAAATGCATGTCCAACTACCATTTCTATTGTCTAAACCACCATTAAAAAAATATAGATAGATGGCAACCGGATGAATCTTAACAATACTTAAAAAGCATGATACAGCAATACTACCTTTGCACTTGAACATCTAGGTAAGAGAGCATTTTTTTGAATGAAGCTCTAATGCTATATAAAATGGAAAAAAAAAAGATAAGTAGAATCGTATAATTCTCTTTTTCTTTTTTGGGATAATGAGATTTGTATAATTCACTTAGCGTTAGATGCTTACATGATGGAGGTTGTGCTGATGGAGACTGAGCAAGTGGTGCAGAAACTGGGTCTTTCGTACTGTCCATACCCTGGCCTGGACGAGACCCATAAGACACTGAAGGTAATGGTGGTTGATCAGGGGACAACTGTGACCGGGGACTCATTACAGGTGGGTAGTTAGGAATTAGGTTAGAATGAGATCTTGGTGAAGAGCTTGGTGGAACTGCAGGACGAGAGTATGGACAGGGGAGAGGGGCTGCACTAGATGGTGCAGGAGAAATTGGAGGAGGAAAAGAAGGGTAGTGACCAATTCCAGGACCTGGTGAATGAAGGGGACTATGATCAGATGGAGAAGGAGCTTTGCACTTAGGGCAAGGTGGAAGATGAAAACTCTTGGGTGATGATGCTGGAGAGTGAGTTGGTGAAAAAGTAGGATATGGGGATATTGATGGCCCTGGAGATGGAGCCGGCGATGGAGTGGGAGGGGCAGCATGAAGTGTACCCTTCAGATAAGATGATAAGCTAATGCTTTTAACTTTACCAAAGACTGAGTTATTAAGACCAAGATTCTTTGCTGGAGACTCTGTGATGGTTTGAGCCAACTGCTTTAATCTCTGAGGCAGAAGGTCACCAAAATCAGATGACGTCACTGAGGCCTGAACTATGACTGGGGAGGATATTGTGGACCCATTTTCATTTGTTAATTGCAAAAACAAATTCTGCAATAAACAAATACAACATAATTATAAACAAGTAATACCAAAGAATAGGACTCAAACATTAGGGCATCAAAGGGTACAAAAATAAAAGGCAAATAAGCTCCTCTCTGCTCTTCCCCCAACCCCCAATGTCTGTTCCATTCCGATGAAGAAACCTCAAGGTTTTAATTTCCTAAACTTGGGTTAGGATGCAGTAACTAATACATGATTTGGGCATCTATAACCATATCCTAGGAGCTAATCAAGAGCCACAGATTCTTCAACAGTTGAAAATGCTAAAACAGTTAGTTAACACAGAACACTAAAGATGTAGTGTGTTTCTTCATCCTTTATGAGAATCAAGTTATTAATATTCACGAATTCAATTGATTTCGAATAATTTGAAAGCAAGAATTTTTCCTATTTCCACATCCAAACACTATTTGGTCAGATCTGGGGTCATAAGAATGGTAGTGTGAGGCTACCATAGATTAACCCAAAAACCAAACATTGGTGAAATTAAAATGTGTAACCGTTGCTTGAAACAGATTCATACCTCATAAGAGGTCAGAAGCAATCCATATTTCAGCTGATCCTTTAACTCAATGAAGTTTTCCTGTATTTCAGCTATTGAATTATTCAGAGTAAAATTAAATAGAATCTGGGTTATCTGCCAGATGAAAGCAGGTTGTGTAGGGATTACAGTGATGCCCCCAGGAAACTTCAAAATCTCAAAATCAGAAGGCTGCCCAAAAATTGAAGTAGTCAAAGTCAGATTGGATTGCTGAAGGAACAGCTCAATTAAAGATGATCTCAGCACGCTAAGGGATACTGGGTTTATTGGACTATTTATGGGATCAGAAAGAACACCAAACACCACATAAGTAGAGTTAGATGCACCCAACCGGTGCATGGATAAGATGGCCACCTGTTGAAAATGAGCAGCTTTTAGATCAACTTTTCACATAATATAGCAGTAAATATATGTAAAATATAATGGCAGAAGTTGAGCGTAAACCTTAGTGGCCGGCACACCTATTTCATCATAGATATCATATCTTAACTTTTCCATATGTTGAACGAGCTCTGAAACTGGTTTCTGAAGTGTAAAGTACGCATGAACCGAGGCTGCAAAGAATAAATTAATATATATATATATATATATATATAAGCAACAAACAAGAAAAATTACTTATGGAACTACATCACTTGACTCAAAAGGTCATTAAGTGTGATGGAAATACAAACAACGAAAGGCCTTATTTCAATATGCATTTAAACGAAACCAGGAAAGGTCAATTCTAAATAAGAAACTGAATCCATTTATCTTAGTTCAATAGCTCACTTCAAGAAAGTCATAACATGTCAAGGAAGACCATTGAGTTTAATAGAGAATTGACTACTTATATAATGGCACATGATCTTGCAAAAGATCACAGGTTTCCGCATGATCAACTGATTATCAATTTAAGGTATGAAAAACAATAAAACACAGCCCTTGTCTCATAAATTTGATACTTTTGTTTAAAAGAAAAAGAGGAGGAGAGCATTGAAACAAACCATTAATTGCTTGCCCCTATCGCTAAAAGGAGATATACTCTAAATATAGCAAAACAATCCCTTCCTATGATACAATTTTAATTGGAGCCACACTTTGATGAATTGATCATAAAACAGAAAAAAACATATTTCCCATTTGGAAATCAAAAAAGAACCTGCCCTCACAGAAATTCTAGAAGAAGCTGAAGTAAATGCAAGCACATTTCTCCAAAACATAAACAGAAACTAATGAAACAACAAGGTCAAATAACTACCATCCGCAAACCTGAAACATCAGTAACCTATGAGAGAACAACAAGGGAAAAACCACACCTTAGAATACCAAAATTCCAGATTTAAAATTCCAAATTAAAAGTCTATAAAAAGAAATACTATCAAGTAGCAATTTACAACAGGAAGCAAGAACCCTAATTGCAACACAGTTACAAGGTGAATGAGAAATCAATCAGGGAAATACCCATTAGCCCTCAACAATTGCGGATCCAAACTAAACAACAAAAATGCAATGAAAATCAACATACCACATTATCATAAAACCCTAATGAAACAGAAATACAAAATACCCACTTCAAAAATTAAACCCTAATCACACGAAGAATATGAGAAACTAAAATTAAAAGAAAAGTTACCACTGAGCTTAACAGCTTGCTTAGCATCAAACCCATAGTTTATAGAGCGAAAAGGAAGGATCCAGAAAATCCCAGGCAACGCAATCGACAAACTGAGAAACAAAACAAAAACACATCTGAAACTGAACTCATTCGAAAGCCTTGACAAAACCATCCAACATCTCCCACACAAGAATCCCGGATGCCCTTGATTGTTCCCTGATTCAAGACTCTGCTCCCTTTGCTGCAGATTTGGGTCCTCATTTTTCCCCATTGAAAGTGCATCTGGAAGAAAACAAATAAAATTCTCTTTCTCTCTCTACCTTCCTTGGCCTTGGGTCCTTTACTTCTTTTCACTTTCTCTGTCTAGAAAACTCACTCACTCTTACCACCACCACCACCACCACCACCACCACCACCACCAACAACAACAACAAAGAAGAGCTTTGCGACGGGTTGTGAAAGAAGGGTGTAGATTGAGAGACAAGTGTTAATGGTGGGCATATGCCTCTCTCTCTCTCTCTGTATTAACTACTAAAATTTGACAACACCCCTTTTCTTTTTCTTCTTCTTTTTATTTCATATTCATAATTTAATTTTTCAATATTTTTATTTTTTTCCTTTAATTTTAATCTTGTTTTACTCTTTTTTTTTTTAATTGCCACGTTTTTGGAGTTTTTTTTTTTTTTTTTTATCTTCTATCTAAATTTCCAGTAAATTTGACGCACTGACTTTAGACATTGGACTCTTCTGAGTCAATTTTAAATTACTTTGTTATGGACTTAATTATGGGCTACCGAACGTTGTGGAGAAGCATAGGGTAAAGGGCAAAGGCAAAGTGAATGCGGGAGGGTATTTTTGGGATAAAATAAATTATGGGAAATTCAATTGTTTTTTAATAGTCATTGATGAGAATGGGATCTGATCTCATAATTTCTTTTTTTTTTTTGTTTTTATTGTTTGTATTTTTTTTTTGTTAATTTAAAAAATATATATTTATTTATAATTTTCTTTTATTATAATTTTATAATTAATCAATTACAACAAATAATTACATAAGGAACACTACTTTTAAATCTAGATTCAATATAAATTTTGGATAAATCTTATATAATTTTAAATTATAATTAACTAATTATAATATTATTTCAATGGAATTATAGGAGGATATGTTATTATTATCATTTAATTAATTTTCCATCCACTTATATCATCCTTTAAAAAGCCTTTGTATTAATATACTAATCCAAAAAAAATATAAAATTTTATTAAATGTCTATAAAAGTGGAATTAATTGATGATAAACATCTTTGTTCCCCCATTAAGAAAAAGCAAGATAAAGTTTTTTTTTTTTCTTTTATCTTTGGTATATTTCTCTTTAACCTTTTATCTTATTCTTATCCCACCTCCCAAACTTTCTTAATCTACTTCTAAAAAAACAAGGGTTTGGTGCCATTAGGAATTGAAATTCAAATTGTGGGTAAAGTGGCATAGACAAATAGGGGGAAAAAAATGGTCACTTGCTTGAAAGAGAGACTGCATTTCTTTTTCTTTTTTTTTTTTATGTAATTTGGGTTTCACTCAAAGGTAATGGGGGAGGGAACAAGTTGACCAATATGGGTCATGCACGTGGACCAATGATATGTCAAGGATCTCCTTTCTAATCAGTTGGTTACCAACATTCGTTTAATCTTACTGGACAAGCCTTCCCTTGCTTTCTCTTCATATCTAATTTCCATTTTTTTTTTTATGTTTTCTTTATCATCAAGTTGGAATATTGTAGGTGGAGACTTTTTCACAGCTTGAACCTGTTTTTCTTTTTTTCTTTTTTTGCAGGTAGGAAATTGGGATAATGAAGAGAAAATTATACTACAAATATAACTTTTTTAATAAAATACTCTTTTTTTTTAAATGAGAAATAAAGTTTAAACTGAATATTTTACTTAAGGTGATAGATCAATTTTTATAATTTTTATATTTTTGAACGAGCACAATTTTTTATTATCATACTTTTAATTTCATTCAAAAATAATTATATAAAATAATTTTTTAATTTTTCACAAAAAATTAAAATAGTTAAATAATAAATTTGTATCTATTTAAAGATACATTATAAAATTTGATTTATAATTTTAAATAGAATACTAGTAACAAATTTGGGTGTTACGTCATTTAATTTTCAGCAATGAAAAAGAAACTTGAACCTTAAATGTTGAACATTTCACATTCTCGTATAATCCTATCTAGATGGTGGCAGAAGCATCCTAATCAATCTTACTTTCTTTCATCTAGATTAGAAGAAATGTGCTTTTTTTTTTTTTTTTTTTTTGCTTTTGTTTATTATTCTTAGAGTATAAAGTTAGTTTGAAAAGCAAGGGATGGTAGCCCCAAATCAAGAATATTATTATATTAACACACGTCTATTCAAAATAGTGCTATAATTACGTACTCAAAGATTTCTTATCTAATTTTTTTTATCATATATGAAAGAGACGAGCATTCTAAATTTCAATATTAGCTCAATTTAAAAAAAAATTAACATTTTCTTTGAATAACGAAAAAAATATTTTTATTATGTTATTACATTGTTTTATTATTTATAAAAATAATATATAAAAAATAAAAATATCTCATCATATTAGATATTTCTAATAAATAATTAAAAAAATTTTTAAAATGCTTTCTTTCAGATCCCTAGTAAATCGACTATTGCACGAGTAAATGGAAGGTGTTAATCAGGTTTCATCACTCAAAATTTCTATTGGTGAAAAGTTAATTAGGGTAATTATTTTTCAAATTTGCATGAGCATTTTTCCTAACCTTCTTTTCGTCATGTTTCTTTGGAGTCTCCAATTACAAGGGAGATGGCTTTCGATTTGGTTTGACTTTTTGTAACCTTCTTACTTTGCCAAAAGAAAAATAATATACAAGTAAAGAAATGTTTAAATCCACATTCATTCGCAAGCAACGGCCGTTGCCCTCCATTTAAAATGAAAAAATTGAGAGCATCCAACCAAAAGCATGGAGAAACCCTCAAGCAATCAAGTTATTCTCTCAAGGCTGGTTGGTTTGAATCCGATGACCTACTTTTGACCCTAATTTGCTTGTACAAGTTTGGACCATTTTTGTCAAAGGAAAACCCCAATTGGGCCTTTCAACCCACAACATTTTTTTTGGAGTTTATTATCCAAAAATTTTCCCAAAAAACTGTCATTATCTTTGGTTCCGCCTATGTTGTCTCATTAGACTATGGCAGAGGAAAGCAAAGGACCCACTGTTAGCAGCTTGGTTGCAATTGAAGCAATCAATCCCTTGCTTTAAAAGCCCAACATCAAAGGCAAAACTTGTCTGGAAGTAAATCCAATTTTCTTTTCAATTAAATTTTTAATTTTAACTTTTTTTTTTCATTTTAAAAAAATAATTATTTTTGTTGTATTTTCGCTTTAAATAAATTTCTTAATTTTTATTTTTTTATTTCTAAAAATCAGCATTTTCCATGTATGATTACTCTTTAGCATCATGGTGCCATGCCCCATTAACATCTGTCGAGCTTGAGTTTCTATAAAAAAAATATCTTAATAAAAAATAAAATATTAATTTATAATAAATAGTAGATTTGGTTCAAATAAATTATATATTTAACTTTAAATTGAGTATTTAGCTTATAAATTTTGTACACGATCAATGAATTAGATGATGTTATTGATAAATTTAGAAAAAAAATTAAATTTTTATATATTTATATTAAGGGTTTATAAAAAAGTTATTTATAATCATTAATGAAATAATATTGTCTAATTCATTAATAATATGTAAAATTTATAAATTAATATTGCATCAAATAAAATTTCATTATTATTTGTTACCTTTTTTTATGGAGGAAAGACTTGGTTAATTGTGTTCGTTTAGAGGGAAATGTTTATGTTCCTTAGTTCATGATATTATAAATTCTCATATTTTCTTTATTATTTTTCAATGGAAATTAGTCTAATGAAAAAGAATAATCTAATTTAAGTCATTCAAAAATTTTATTAGCATTTGGGTTAATTGACTGCCACTGTATATCATGAAACAAAGCATAAAGTAATTTCAAATGTTAATTCGTTCAAAAATTTTAATATTTTAATATTAAATGCATTAAAATATAGTGCCCGGCCAGCATCCAAAAGGATTGTGAGCACATTCATTTGATAAAGTTTCATAGTCTACTGTAGTTCCTAGAAATTGCAAAATTGTCAAGAAAAGAACCATTTTGCTCAACACTATACTGTTGTCAAATGTCAAACATAAAATCTAGAGCCAACCCATCTATTACTTTCAACTACTGTACTCGAGTCTAGAACCATTATGCTCAACAAATGATTCCAAACTATTAGTAGTCGCAGCGGTTATCCTTTGGTTCCCAATTCTTGACTTTGGATTTAAAATCGGAGCAAGGAAAACTACAGAATGCAACAGAAACAACATTCACTCTCAACTCTCAACCCATCAGGCAAGTATGCACAATCGAAAAGATACAATTTTCATTTAGACCACAGCATACACCAGAGAACCTGTACCTAAACAATAAAGACAAGAAACACCAAATTATTTTCACTGTTCTATTGTTTTATTTGCATGAATTAGAGCGTACGTATATCAGGGAATTCTTTAGCTATTCAGTGGCTGCGTGCAAAAGCTTCCGACCATCTGCTAGCTCGTAGATCACAACTTGCAAAACCTGGGCTAAACTATTTATTGGCCACATTTTCACGCGGCTGACTGATTTGGTGCAACCATCCTGGGTTACATTGTTAGCAGTTCCTTCTAAGTTGGGCATTATAATTTGATTGCAGGAACATTGATACATCTGGTTGGTAAGGACAGTTATGACAAAACCTTCATCCTTTTTTTTCCCTGTTAAAGCTTTCTAGGTTTTCAATTTGAAGAGGGTGGAAGGTGCCTGTTTTTCCTCCCAGACTCGTAACAGAGATTGGGATGGAAATATGAAGAAAATAGAATCTCCAGTTTCTTCAATCAAATTTGCCTCAACTTTTGGGCCTTGTCTACAATTTTTATTTGGGATTAAAAATTGATGGAAATTGAAATTTTGGGCTGAACTTCATGATTTTTAATCCATATAGTAATTTGGGCTTTTTTCCATGGTTTGGAATTTTGGGTTTAAAAGTGTAATTTATGTACATGCATACATTTTAGTATATAAGTAACTATATTTAATTAGTTGTTTAGTACATAAAAATTTAGATGAGGGAAGGTTACTTTATTCCAAGATCAGGACATGTCATAGGCCTAAGTGATGGTGCATATTAAACTTACAGATTATCTATAAAAAAGAACTGCTAATAGAATCAAACCTACATCTTATAAACTAAGTATTATATCATTATTAATTCAATCAAATTCCGTTGGCATATTTAATTAGTTTTAACTTTAATTGATTAAATAATATGAAGTGTATATATATATATATATGTTTCATCGTCAAATTCAAGCTTAATAATTAAATATTAATACTATTAAAACTAAATTCAATTGAGTTGAAAATAATATTAATTGTTTGTTTGTTAAAAACAAATGATATAGTACATATAACTAAAAAAAATAGTTTGTGTTCGCTAAATTATTAAGAATTTTAATTTGATATTTTCAATATGTTTGATAATTTATTTTTACAAATCACTTAATAAAAGATTTTCATTATAAAATTTTAATTAAAATTTTACATCTTTTTTACCGAAAATTCAATAAAAAAATAAACACAACATTTAATTTAATTAATAGAGACCAAATAATCATAAATTAACACTTATATTTTTCAAAAATAAAAATTCTATATTAAATTTTTTAATATAAAAATTTTTGTCAGTTTTATCAAACAGTACTTTATTTTGAAAGAATTAGTGGGGAATCGATTGGGAATAGGTTAAGTTTTGTCATTTTCATGAGATCTCAGGTTTATAGCTCAATGAAAGCAATTAGGTTTATAGCATATGAATAGATTATAGATAGAATTTCAATAACTAGGTCAATAAACAAAATTTTTTATGAAAGAAGTTACAATTTTAAATAAAAAATATAAATATTTAAATTTATTAAATATTATATCTTAAAATTAATTAAATTAAATTAAAAATATTTTTTTGATAAAAATTTTAATTTAAATTTCAAGATAATTATAAAAGTGAAGTTCTCTTTCTAAAAGGTGCAAAGACTACCTTACTTTATTAAAACTTCTTGTTTCGGAGGATGAATCTATCAAATTTGATCAACCATTAACAAGTAATCCTAATGTGGGTGGATTAGTTTCGTTTGTTTGCTGTTGCGTTTTAAGATTTATTGATTGGAATTAATCCTATTTACATTTCACTTATTTCGATTTAATTTCGATATAGTACTAATTTGTATAGTAATAGTATAAATAGATATTTATACTATTACATTTATACTATTACATAGATATTTATACTATTACTATATAGTATAGTAGAATACTATACAAATCCAAAACAAGTAAAACTTTTTTGTTTTCACTAATCACACAATATTCACAGTTTTTTTTATCTCTTTTGTTCGATTCAGGATATAGTAACCGATTCCATAGATCTATGTAGTTCCAAAAAATAATTTATTTATCTTATTATTAATCAAGGATTTCGTATATAGCTAGAACGACCCTCACAAATTGCGACTACTAATTTGTTAAGAATTAATCGAATTGAAGCTATAGCGTCATCATTTGCTGGAATCGAAAGATCTGCGAGATCGGGATCACAATTTGTATCGATTAAACAAATTGTTGGAATTCCCAAAGTATTTAAGGATCAATTTTTCTACAGATTTAACGACTTCCGTTCCTACAGCGAAATCTTACCTATAATTTTTCTTTGGGCACAAAATCTTTCCTATACTTGAAATCGGAGAAAAGTGGATTTTCATTTGAAAAGAAATTTTTTTAATTTAATTTAAAATCATGGTTGGAGATGGAACAACCACTAATTGCTTTCATTTTCAATATAACTCTTTATTATTAAAAAAAAAAAAAGAAACCCTAGCAGTTTAAAAAGTAAGATTCAAACTCTTTTCGGAATTTAAAAAAAAAAATTAACATTGGGATTTATGATATCATGTAAAAATGAATTATATTCGAATCATTAATTTATAAAAAAAATCAATAAACGGTGATAATTTTTTAAATTATTTTTTAATAAATCATTCACTGTTTGGAGTTCATCATTTTTTTCTTTGTTGAAAAGAGATTTAACTTGCATTTATCATAATATCCTAATATCCTATCTATGTCTATTTTGTGAAAGCGTTACCAGTGAAGACGGATTTTTAAATAAAAATTCATTAAATCTTGATCGTCTGATGATTTTATTTTTAATTCTATCCATCCAAACAAAGGAAAGTCAATTAATGCTTACATTTATAATTAAAAATAATCCGCATAAGCATATCTATCACCCTGGATTCTGTTGAGATTCACGTGTTTGACATTAGTTTTATTAAGTAAAACGGAAATATTGTAAAGTGACAGCTTGCTTTCATAACTATTATATCTGATTAAGCTTGATTCACTCTTAAAATATAACAAAATATTAAAATTTTCCAATAACGTTTTTCTTAGTTCTCTTATTACCATCCACCCCAATATGATTGATCATCAACAAAAGGTCGTGTAGCATCTACAAAAGCTTTAGCTTTCTCCCTTGCGTTTTTTTTTTTGAAAATTTTAACTTTTTTAGTTTCTGTTGTAATTTTGAAGAGTACAAGAGGAGACAAGTGCCAACCGCTACCAAAATCTCTTGACCAATTTAGAATTTTCAGAAGAATTATTATGCAATGCTCAAACCGGTGCTTCCAGTAACCCTGAATTTTTCCCATTTTTCCTTACCAATGACCACATCCATCCACATTCAATTTAAGCATTAGAAAGAGGAGTCCGACCAATTTATCTCGTGCTTTGTGCTAACAGTATATATTTTCTCAAGAGCAGTCCAAATTTCACGAGCACAGTGCTTTGATGAAAGTAGCACCATTGAATGGCCATTTAAAGGCATTGCTTCGCTTTGGAATCTCGATAAATCCATGGTTTACTCTACGTGCGTGCCTGAACTCAATTGCTCAAAGATTAGATATGGCTATCGTTGGTACTGAGTAGATAAAATTGCTAAGGTAACTCATGACACGTTAAAATGATGAATTATATACAATGAAACACCTTAAAAGACAAGTTCAAAGGGGATTTAACTAGACCAAAATAGAATGATAAAAAAAAGAACATAATTAACTTTCTTTTGATGATCAATTCCTATATTACAAAAATTAACAAAATTCTCCTGCATGAGCATATATGCTTTCTTCTCCTCTCAATTTTATGTTGCAATGTCCATTAGACCGTTGCGAACTTCACCAAAACTATTGCCTGCAGTAACAAGGTCTGTCTTTCTCCTTCCATTGCTAGATGCTGCCAACAGAAACATTAATTCTCCGCTTTGTTCTATTTCCCCAAGTCAAGTTCAGGCTTGGCTGCCCCTCAATTTTTCTAAGTGAGAACTTGTAAACGTATTTGCCAAATTTCCCTTTTTCTTTCCAAAACTCAGTCACACGGTACAATCCGTCATAAACAAATTTGTAGCCACAGTAATTATTGTTAAACCTACGAATCACCCTATGAATCACCCTGACAGGCATTTTATCATCCATACTGTTCTTCAATGCAAGGTTTCCACCTACAAGCTTTTGATCATTTGGTTTCTTACGCCCACCAATGTCAGGATTTTCACCTTCGCCACAGTAAATCAACTTGTCAGAAGTAATCCCCACAGCATTCTCATATCGACCAGAATCAACAATGCTGGTAGCCATGATTTTATCGTTAATCAATTTCATACAGTCAATCCCTCTCTGAAAACCATGGTGAAGCCCAACAATACTCAACTCACCCCTCCAAAGGAATTCATCACCAACTTCAATTCCTGAAACATGTCCTATTTGCTTGCTGGTGTTAACCGATTTCCCTAAACTCTCAAGAACCCTGGCTGCTCTCATATGAACACTTAAGCCCCAATATTGCTGTATTTGTGGGCTCTTTTTTTGTTCTTGGGTGAACTCGGCTAATAACTTCCTGTTGGCGATTAAGTCTCTGTAAAAACTCAGAGCTTCCCTGATTTTTCGACGATTCCCATACCATTCTGCACTGAAAGGCTTCTCTTTGCAATCAAGAACAATTGCTTGTGAAAGACCCTTATCAGACAGGACTTTTTTCCAACTTTTTTTGCTCGCTTAGACTTTGATAAAGACCCAGTACTATTTCTTGGTTTTGGCCGCACTGCAACCATGAATAATCCTGGTATACACCAAAAAAAAAATTTATGTAAAACAAACTTATAGAGTTGAGACAAACGAAACATATGAAATTGAAGATTGCAAGAGCAAGACAGAAGAAAAAAAGCCAGAAAAGAAAATCTCACATACACATTAAGAAAAGAAACAAGAAAAAACAAACTTTGAACTTTCCTTTTTGTTGAATACCCAGAAAAGAAAATAGAAGGACGGAAGTTCACACAGAAGCAATCAAAAGATAAAAAAAATTTTTAGGGTTTTGTTAACAACTGTCTTAAATATTGTTTGAGGTTAGTAAATTTATTATTTATAGTAATAAATTTATATTAAATATATTAAATAATTTTATAATTAAACATATAATAATTCGTAATTTTATTAATGTTTTTTTATTTAACAAATTTAGATATAATAACACACCAAAATGATAAAAAATATATATGAAAGTAATTCAATTTAAAATTTTGATAAAAATTAGATATAAATTTGATAAAAAATAAAAATATATTTTATATTAAAAGTGTTAATATAAATTATGATACAATAATTTTCAGATCATATCATATAATTATTATATTACAACACAAATAGACATTTGATAATATTTAACACATGTAACATTTATGTGAACAACTTTATATGACAAGTAAGATAGTTTGTTTAAAGAGTATAGCTTCTTTTAATTACAATTAGATAATCTTGAATTTATTTAAATATAAAAATTTTTCAAATTCTAATTACAAATTAAATTAATTTAGAGATATATTTTTTTAAATTAAAAATTAAAAATATGAATTTTATTTGAATGATTTTAATTTTTTACTAGATATCCTATTTTATGTTAGAGATTTTCTAAATAAAATATAGGAAATAATCCCACATTGAAAAATAGAAAATGAAGATAGACAGTTAAGTTTGTACAAAATAAATAGATAAATTTGTTCAAATGAATAATTTTAACTATTCAAAAATAGATAATTTCTGTTTATTTAAAATAGAAAGTTATGTCTGTAGGAAGGAACACTTATCTGTTTATAAAAGAGTCATATAGTTTTTTAAAAAATATATAAAAATAATTCTTGAAACTCTTTTTCTTTATTCAAACTTCAGATTTTTTTATAAAAGTTTTGCTGGAAAAAACTTTTATAAAAGTTCAGTGATTTATAATATGTTGATGAATATTCGGTGGACTGATTTCATCAAAGCAAAATGTAGTCAGTCACTAGACTTCATTGTATTTTCAAGATTTATTGCCTACAATCTTTTTACACACTTACTAAGTAAATAATACGGTGGAGGTAAATAAAACTTTAAGAAAAGTAGCACTGTTATATGCCTTGGAGCCTTTTTTTAAAATTTCAAATTTATCAGAACTAGTAATTTCCAATTTTTTATGTTTGTACTAAAAATCTTAAGATTTTATTTGATTCAACAATGGTTATTGAAACAACGCTTGAGGAATTGGCTTCTAGTTTTGTCAAATTGGATCGTTTTGATGGTGACAATTTTTGAATATAGTAGAAGAAGATATATTTCTTGCTTTCAATCTTAAAGATTGCATATGTTTTGACTATTCTCAGACGAGAAGAAACTGAAGCAGAAGAATCTATTACTGCAACAAAAAAAGGCAAAAATGCAATAATATAGACTACATGTGTATAGGTTATATTCTAAACGGTCTATCTGACAACCTATTTGATATGTACCACAATAAGGCGACTGCAAAAGAGTTATAAGATAAATTAAATATCAATTATATGGTCGAGGATGCAACAAGTAAGAAATTTCTTGTTAGTTGTTTCAATAATTATAATATGGTTGATGGGCGTTTTGTGTTTGAACAACTGTGTGAAATTGAAAGAATAATTAATTAGTTTAAACAATATAATATGAGTATGGATGAAATAATTGTTGTATCTTCTGTAATAGACAAACTTCTTCCATCATGGAATAATTTTAAAAAAAGTTTGCAACATAAAAAAGAGAAAATCACTCTTAAGGCTTTAGCTATTCATCTTCGAATTAAAAAAGAATACAAAAAGTAAAAACAGAATTTTAGTTTTGGTGATGTCATAGTTAATGTTTTGGAGGAAAGACAAACTATAGAGCTTGACAAAAAGAAGTTTAAATTCAAACAGATTGCTAATGGGCCTAAATTAAAAAAAAAATTAAAAAAGACAAAAAAGCTCATGTTACTATTGTGGTAAGCCAAGACATTTTAAGAAAAAATATCAATTGTTACAGAAGAAAAATGATTCCTTAAAGGTTGATACTTCTAAAAATTTTGTTGTCATGATTTTCAAGATCAACATGCTTGAAAATGATGAATCTTGGTGGGTTAATTCTAGAGCCATAAAACATATGTGCAAGGACAAAAGCATGTTCACAACATTCAAACCAAGTGAATCTGGTAGTGTCATGTATATAGAAAATTCTTTTACAGCAATAACAAAAAGCAAAGGGACTATTGACCTTTAATTCACTTCTAGAAAAAAACTCTAACTTTGAATTATGTTTATTATGTACCAAAAGTTAGGAAGAATTTAATGTTTGGAAGTATGTTGAACAAGTGATTTTAAACTTGTATTTAAGGTAGATAAATTTATTCTGTCTAAAGAAATAATTTTTGCTAAAAAGATATATATATATATATATATAGGAATGTTCAAACTCAATATTATTAATAAGAATAAGAATATTGTTTATGCTTACATAATTGAATCTTTATATTTATGGCATTATAGATTAAGTAATTTAAATTACAAAAATTGCATGATATGAGTAAACTTCTATTAATTCCTTAATTTAATAAATATATTAATAAATGTAATACATACACGTTAACTAAGATTACTAGAAAAAATTTTCTAAGGTTAAAATAAATATAAAGTTACTTGAATTAATTAATGGTAATGTTTGTAATGTTCATAGCACTCCCACATTAACTGAAAAGAAATATTTTGTCACATTTATAGAAGATTGTATTAGATATTGTTATGTCTATTTGTTATATTCTAAAAATGAATTACTTGATAAGTTTAAATATATAAATCTGAAGTTAAACTTCAATGTGAATCTTTTATTAAGTGTTTGAGGTCAGATAAGGTGAAGAATATTATAGTCAAAGTTACTTTGAATCCACCAGAATAATCCACCAAGTTACAGCTCTTTATACACCACAACAAAATAGTGTAATTGAAAGGAAGAACATGGTCTTAACAAAGATGGTAAATGCAATGTTATCATATTCTGGTCTTGGACAAGGACTTTGTAGTGAAGGTTTATTAACAGCTTCTCATATTCTAAATAGAACTCTTAACAAAAAAATACTAATAATCCCATATGAGCAATGAAAGAAAATAAAATAAAATCTTAATTATTTAAAGGTTTTGGGATGTAAAGCTGTAGTTAAAATTTTAAAACTCAAAATAAAAAATTGGTGAAAGAAGAATAGAATGCACATTTATGGGATATGCATAAAATAGTAAAGCATATAGTTTCATAGTTATTGAACTGAATGATTCAATTTTAGTTAACATTATTATTGAATCAAAAGATGCAAGTTTTTATAAATAAATTTAAATCTATTTCGAAACAACTACAACCATTATAAGCAATTTATTTTACAAGTGAAAAAAAATTCCAAATCCATTAGAACAAATTGAAATTAATGATGAATCTTGTCAAGAAATAAGGACAAGCAAAAAGGTAAAAGATTTTGGATCAGATTTTTTATGTTCATTGTAGAAAGGATTGGTGAAAGCAAACAATAAAATTCCTTATTATTTAATACGGAGTCCTATCTTGTTACATGTAAAGAGGCAATGAAGTCTCAAGGTTTTGTTGTTTGAGAGAAGTAATAAATGATGAAATAGATTCAATAATGGAAAATAACATTTAAATTTTGGTTACCTTCCACCATATTCTAATCCAATAGGTTGTAAATGGATTTTCAAAAAGAAAATAAAGTTGGATGAAATGTAGATAAATTAAAAGTAAGATTGGTAGCTAAGAGCTTTACACAAAAGTAGGGAATAAAATACTTTGATACTTATACTCTAGTAGCTTGAATTATTACAATTAGGATTCTAATTTCACTTCACTTGATTTATAATTTAATGTTTATAATTTGATTATACATCAATGGATGTAAAAACAACATTTTTAAATGGTGAATTAGAAAATGAAGTATATATGGAATAATTAGAAGGATTTATCATTCCAGGTAAAAAACATAAGATTTGTAAGCTTATAAAGTCCTTGTATGGACTTAAGCAAGCACCAAAATAATTTCACCAAAAGTTTGATGAAATCGTTCTTGCTAATGGTTTTAGAATTAATAAGTCAGATAAGTGTATGTATAGCAAATTTGAAAATGGTAAATGAGTCAAAATTTGTTTATATGTGGATGATATGCTAATATTTGACACTGATTCAAAATAAGTTAAGGAAACAAAGAAATTTTTATTAAATAACTTTTCAATAAAAGATATTGGTGTAGCGAATATTATTCTTGGAATTAGAATAATTTGGAATGATAGTGGCATAATATTGTCACAATCGAAAAAGTTCTTAAAAAGTTTGATCCTTTTTGTTGTATTTCAATATTTATAACCATGGATTCTCAACTAAAATTAGTATTTAATACTGGTAGAATAATTGATCAATTGTAATATGTAAGAGTAATTGGTTGTCTGATGTATGCA